AGTTCCCAGAACTCCATTCCTGGGCATGATTTTGAATGCCCGGAGTCAACTGCAGGCCACTTCGTGTTCTTCGAGTCGAGTTACCAGAACGTTTTGTTGTTCCATTCACGGGCCACATTTTGAATGCGAGGCAGGCTGATGCTGAGGCTGAGGCAGGCTGAGGATGAGGCAGGCTGAGGCTGAGGCCGAGGCTGAAGGCAGACTGAGGCTGAGGCTGAAGCAGGCTGAGGCTGAGGCTGAGGCTGAGGCAGGCTGATGCTGAGGCAGGCTGAGGCTGAGGCTCAGGCTGATGCAGGCTGAGGCTGAGGCAGGCTGAGGCTGAGGCCGAGGCTGAAGGCAGACTGAGGCCGAGGCTGAAGCAGGCTGAGGCTGAGGCTGAGGCAGGCTGAGGCTGAGGCTGAGGCAGGCTGATGCTGAGGCAGGATGAGGCTGAGGCTGAGGCTGATGCAGGCTGAGGCTGAGGCAGGCTGAGGCTGAGGCCGAGGCTGAAGGCAGACTGAGGCTGAGGCTGAAGCAGGCTGAGGCGGAGGCTGAGGCAGGCTGAGGCTGAGGCTGAGGCAGGCTGATGCTGAGGCAGGCTGAGGCTGAGGCTGAGGCTGATGCAGGCTGAGGCTGAGGCAGGCTGAGGCTGAGGCCGAGGCTGAAAGCTAACTGAGGCCGAGGCTGAAGCAGGCTGAGGCTGAGGCTGAGGCAGGCTGAGGCTGAGGCTGAGGCAGGCTGAGGCTGAGGCAGGCTGAGGCTGAGGCTGAGGCTGATGCAGGCTGAGGCTGAGGCACGCTGAGGATGAGGCCGAGGCTGAAGGCAGACTGAGGCTGAGGCTGAAGCAGGCTGAGGCTGAGGCTGAGGCTGAGGCTGAGGCTGAGGCAGGCTGATGCTGAGGCAGGCTGAGGCTGAGGCTGAGGCTGATGCAGGCTGAGGCTGAGGCAGGCTGAGGCTGAGGCCGAGGCTGAAGGCAGACTGAGGCTGAGACTGAAGCAGGCTGAGGCTGAGGCTGAGGCAGGCTGAGGCTGAGGCAGGCTGAGGCTGAGGCTGAGGCAGGCTGAGGCTGAGGCTGTGACTGCGACTGCCGTTGCCACTGCGACTGTCATCGCGAATGCGACTACGACTGCGAGAACAGCAGAATTCTACAACTGGATTCTCATGTGAATCTTAAGGGGAATGCTTCCAGATATGCTCCTACACATCGCTGTTAGGTTGCTTTGCCGGGATAATCTTACTCTAGACGCTTCGCGTAACCCCTTACCTGCCCCGCTCGCTCGCTTCGCTTGCTTTTCTTTTCCTGCTGCCTCGTCGCGGCCCGACTCGTGTTCGGACGGCTTTCGACCCGCCTCCCGAGCCTGTTGACCAAAAAGTGCACCCTTACCTGCTCGAGGGTGACCTGCCGCACCACTGGGCTCGTCCCTCCCCACTTGGGGGCCAGCCCCAGACGGGGCCCCTCGGCGCGCCACTTCGGCCACGCGCCTCATACCGCCTCGGGCGCGCCTAGCGGGGGCTGCTGGCTCGCCCCTGGCCCTCAGGAAACCCTTGCTCCTGGCCGCTTTGCGGCCTCTCGCCCCGTAGATGATCGCCGCCCCCCTGGCCCGCCTTAGGCGCCGCCGAGGGGCCCTGGTCCCCCCTCCCGCGGTGTGGCCCGTACTGCTAGGTCCCTCGCGGCTACAGGACTCGCAGCCTGACGCAGCACGCTACCCTCACCCGTCCCTTCGGGGTTGCTCCCTCGCCGCCACGCGACTGTCTGTCCGCCCCCTGCCCGCCTCCTGGTCTCCGTTCCCTACGGCTTCGGCACTCCACTTTGCGGCTGTCAGCTGCTTTCCCCGCGCCCGTCGCCTGCCCGCCTCCTGGCCTCCGTCCCCCACGCCCGCCCCCGTCCGCCGCCCGCCCGCCCAGCCCCCGTCCCCCACGCTCGCCCCCCGCGTGTTTCCAATTTTGTGCGACTGTCAGTCGCTCCGCTGGCCTATCCCAGCCTTTCTCCGTCTCCGCCGGCACCTCCCCCCAGTCCTCGATGTCCCCCCCAGGACGTTGCGGCCGGCGCCGGCGGCCCCGCTGCAGCGCGGGCCCTCGGGCTTGCTTGGCCCCCCGCGCCGTCGCCTCCGCCCGGCTGAGTGCCGGCGCCCCTGCCGGGGTCCCCGTTCCCTCCAGGGCGCACCTTTCGCACCGCCGGGCTGCCTCGCCGTTTGGGCGCTCCTTGGCTGGCGGACGCCGCCCGCACGTTCAGCCACGTCGGGCATGCGCTCGCCATGCGCTTGTCGAGCCCCGCCCCCACGTGCTTGGTGTCTCCTGGCACGGCGCTCTGCGGCCTCGCTGTAGGTGTCGCTCGGCACTGCCGTCGACCTTCCGCCGCGTCTTCCGCTATTGCCTCCCCCTCGGTGCTCCTCGTGTACGTCGAGCGCCTGCACGCTGCCCTCTGCGGACTCATTTCGGTCCTCTTCTCGAACGTGGTCCTGGGCATCAACTATACTTCGCCATTTTGGCATGCATTCGGGCCAGCATCTTCCTGGTCTTCGACGGCTTCGGCGTGTTCGACCTGGTCACCAGCGTCGGTTTCGTCCTCTTAGCCGCAGCGTAGTTCGCTGTTGCGCGCTTAGTGTTTCATTTAGTCCGCCGCTCGTTAGCCACGTTTCGACTTGACGCCGGGCGATTTGTCGCTACGGTCGCGATCCAAAAGTACCCCCACCAGTCCATCCAGCAACGATGATGCCTAGGCGTGATGCCTTGATCAGAGATGTTGAGGAGCATGCAGTGGAATAAAAGGCCGGGGAAGCCGACGTACCCCAAAAAGGGGAGGATGGAGGGGGAACCAGAGGAGGAACAGGAGGAGGGGGACGGGGACGAGGGGGGGGAAGGGGGAAGTATTTAGGGTGGAGGGAGGGAGGAGGGAGGATGAGGAAACGGTGCGGATGTTGAGGAGGAGGAGAGGAGAAAGGAATAAGGAAAAAGGAGGGGAGGAGGAGGTATGGAGGAGGAGGAGGAGGAGGAGGAGGGGGAGCGAGAGAGGAGGAGGTGGAGGAGGAGGAGGAGGAGGAGGAGGAGGATGGCGAACAGAAAGGCCAGAGACTTCTTGGATGTCTCTCGGAGACTCTTCGGATGCCTCTTGGGAGTTTCTCGGGGTCCTATTGGGGCGTCTTGGGGGCTTCTTGGCAGTCACAGAGGCCTCGTGGAGCGTCTTGGGTGCCTCGGGAGAGCCTTTTGGGGCTTCTTGGGAGCCTTTTGGGGACCTCTTGGGGCCCTCTTGGGGCCTTTTGGGCGCCTCTTGGGGCCGTCTTGGGGCATCCTTGGGGGCCAACTTGCTTGGAGGAGATCGATCAAAGAAGGGGAGGCCCCAAGAGGCCAACATGTACCCTAAACCGTTAAACAATATATGATTTCTGCCTTCTCGCTGAAGCTTTCTTGGGCGCCCCAGTCGGTCGCGAACCCCATCCAGGTCCAGGGGAGGGAGGAAGGGGGGGGAGTCAAGACTCCCTCCCGCCCGCAAGCCGTCTCGCGCATTCCCGCCCGGCCTCCCAACACATGCGTAGCACCCGAGCCTGGCCCGAGCCGCAGCATATTCAGCAGTCCTCGTTGGGATGGGCACCTACTGGGGGCGAATCGCGCCGCGCCCGCCGCCGCCGCCCCCGTTGCCGAATCGCCGCCGCCGCAGCCGCTGCCGCCGCAGCCGCTGCCGCCACCGCTGCCGCCGCGCCCCCCGCGCCACGCGCGCCGTCCGCCCGCCGCCCGCCGCCGCCGCCGCCGCCGCGCCCCGCCGCCCCCGCTGCCGAATCGCCACCGCCGCAGCCGCCGCAGCCCCCGCCGCCGCCGCCGCCAAGTGTACTTTGTATAGTTTTTTGACAGGGATGGTGGGGGGAGGCCGCATCGGGTTCGTTGCACGTGCTCCGAATTTGGAGGCAAAGTGTGTGTTTGTATTGTTTTTTACGAGGGATGGTGTGGTGGGGTGCCCGCATGGTTTCGGGTTGGCTCCCAGTCGCCTGAGGGAGGGGGTGTATATTAATAGGGAACAGTGATCAAGACACCCTCCTAGATAGCAAGCCGTTTAGCTCACTCCCACCCGCCCTCCCAACACATAAGGAACACCCCAGCCTCACCATATTAAGCGGCCGTTTTTGGATGGGCAGCTGTTGGGAACCAACACCGACTCCATGTGCACGACGCTGGGGCGAGGTGCGCCACGCGTGCCAGGCACGCCACGCGCGCCAGGCACGCCTGGTGCGCCAGATGCGCCACGTGCTCCACGTGCGCCAGGTGTGCCGCATAGTCCAGCTGGGCCAGGTGCGCCACGTTCGGGGCACGTGCAGAGTGTGTCAGGTGCGCCTGCACACGTGACAGCACACATCGGGAACCATGTTGGCCCCACCATCTTTGTCGAAAACCAATGCCCTGGTGGGCCTGCGCACAGCAGGCCATACGCCACCACCCCATGCTGACACCCCCGCCGCCCCTGTCAAAAAACAAAACAAGGTGCTCGCGGGCCTCACCAACACGACTCAAGACTTCGCCCAACAGAGTACTTCGTCGTGTTTTTGACAGGGATTGTGGTGGGGGGTCGCATCGGGTTGGTTGCGCATGCTCAGAATTTGGAGGCAGAGTGTGCTTTGTGAATTTTTGACAGGGGTGGTTGGGGGGTGGGGGTCATAGGATCGGCATTGTTCCTGGTTGTCTGCCGGTCGCCTGGGGGAGGGGGTGACAATTAATATGGAACAGTGGTAAACCCCTCCCCGAAGGGGAACAAGCGGGGTTGGAAGAGGAGGCGCTCTAAACCACTCACGCCCAGAGGGCTGGTGGGATTCCATTGCGTCCCTTCATTCCCTTCTTGGGCGCCCCCCGCTTGGAGGCCTCCGAAGGGGGGGGGGAGGGGGGAGGGAAGGGAAGGGAGGGAAGGGAAGCATGGGCAGGAGGATATGGGGAGCGTTGGGCGGCGGCTCCGCTCCCGCCCCCCCCCCAGGAGCCGTGTCGCCGAGTGGAGATCTCACCGGGCTGGGCAGCCGTCACCTTCCGCACAGGAGACTGCCGGGGACCATAGCGGACCGCTGGCCGATGGGTAGTGAGGGGGTCCGTGGTCCCAGCGCAAGCCGTCGGGAGCAGCCTCGTGCGGTCCAGACCGCTTTGTTGGAGCTTTCCGAGGCCCCCCCACCCCACCCCCTTTCCTCCGAAGTACTCCTCCTCCTCCTCTTCGTCTTGCTGTAGGCCTCCTGATGTCTTCGGGCATCTTTTGGCTCAAGCGACTTGCCGGCTCACCGATCAGACCTCACCGCAGGACCCTATCTTGGATACCGCAGTCCACACACACACTATCCGTGCCGAGGGATGCCCGCGCCAGCGCGCGGCTGCCTGTTGTACTGCAATCTCCTGGCCCTGGGAGCCTACTCCAGCCTGCCAGCGAGGTCCTTGGCGCTCGGAGGTCGGGGCGAGCGCCGGTTGCGAGACGGAGGATCTGGAGACGGTGACGGCACGTCTGCCCTGCAGGCTCAGCGGGAGGGCCAGGGCGCCGCGTACGACGTCAGACTGTCGTTCGTGATCACCGGATTCGACTACGCATCGTTGGCAGGCTCCGATGTGGCCACGGCATCTCTGTCTACGAAGATCGCCGACAGCATCTGTGGGGCCATCTTACTGCCAGCAGCCGACTGCCAGGTGACGCTGTCGGCAGGCACGGAACTGACGGGCAGCGTCAGATCAAAGGACCCTTGCCACAGAGAGCGCGACAGCAAGGTGGTGGTGGAGGTCATCATCGCCCAAGGTTCCCTCAAAGACGCCGAGGCCATCTCTGCCGAGATCGAGGCGAACAAGGACTCAATCACGTCCGGCCTGTTGCTGAGCACGATCGGCGACACGCAGATCATGGAACACTTAAACGGGGTCGCCATTAGCATCCCAAACTACATCGTCTCGAGCGAGGAGAACCACGATTTCTCTCACCCTGGCCACGCGCAGACCATGGACGGTGCCAGCCAGCAGGCCGCGGCATCCGTGGCGCCGTTCGATGGGGCCTCCGCGCAGGGCGACCCGCACCTCGCGAGCGTGACGGGGCAGAAGTTCGACGTCAACATGCCCGGCAGCTACGTGCTGATCAGGGTCCCCCAGGTCGGACGGCACCAACTATACACCTACACCGATCCAGCCCAGGCCGATCCTAGGCCCAGGATCGGTGTATATGCATCCTGCCCATGGCAGGAGGGCGTATATACCGATCCTGGGCCCAGGTTGATCCTGGCCGGGATCGGTGTTGGTGTATAGTTGGTGCCTCCCTACCAGGACCGCCGCCAGCCCTCCAAGCTGGAGATGAATGCCACCCTCCAGCCCAACGAGGGCAGCCCCTGCGGCCTCTACATCAAGAGCGTCGAGCTCGGCGGCGAGTGGCTGGGCGGCCAGGCCTCGGGCCGCCCCCAGACGAGAGCCCGAGCAGAGGGGGCCCGGAGAGCCACGCCGCATCGCCGGCGCACCGGAGATGCGGCTCGCCCGCGGGCCCGGTTTCCTCCGTCCCGATGCCGCCGATGCATCGGCGATGCGGCGCGATCCTCCGACCCCAGAGAGCCGACGTCGTGCTTCTTGCAAGACGGGGTCCCCCTAGGAGTCTCGACCCAGTCCCCAGGACCGGTTTCCCGTCCCGAGTCGTCTGTTGACGGCCCCGGGGCCCGGCGAGGACCCCGCGAGGCCGAGAGTACGGCAAACCTCCGTCTTCATTTTTTTCAACACGTTGGCTCTTAGGGACCCCCTCTGCTCGGACCCCCGTGGGGCGGCTGCGCAGGTGGCGAGCGTCGTGCCGCTGCAGCGCAACGTCGAGGGCGAGAACGGCGCGGGCAACCGGACCCTCCGCCCGTTCTCCGTGCGGGTCCGGGGAGCCCCGCGGGGCGGCGCCCCGCGGGAGGCCTCGGGCGCGTACGAGCAGTGGGGGGACTTCCTCTCCCAGCCGGTGCGCAGCCTCTCCGGGCGCGTCCGCCTCGTCCCGGTGTGGCGGCAGGTGTACGCCGACGCCGACAGGACCGGGGGAGCCCCAAGCGGTGCGGTGATTGCACCGTGTGTGGCGAGTCGGTGGGGATTCGGGTCCCCTCACGGTGTTGGGACTTGGGTCGTTCTCCGAGGACGCCTCGGGTGGCTGGGGCCAGTCGAGGGTCCCTACACCTACACCGTGCGGTGACGGGCCGTGCAGTGAGGTCTTTGGGGATTTCGGATTTCGAGGTTACCGCTCGGTCTGTCACCGCGCGGTCGAAGAAGAGCAAACGGCATACAAATAAATGTGTGCCAGCGTGGACCCCAAACAGTGAGATGCTGCACGGTGGATGTGTAAGCGATGTGCGTAGTCTGATCTATGCGGTGTGATCTACGTGGTGCGAGCTGTGAGTTGTACGCTATGTGGCGCAATATATACAGGGTGTGAGATATGGGGTGCAACATATGTGGTATGAGCTATGTGGTGTACGCTATGTGGTGCAACTAGCCCTTGCCAACTCATGAGTTGGCAACTCCACCGCTTGCGCAATCATCCCACCCTCCAACCCGCAACTTGGTTCGCAAAAAACATGCGGTGGCGATTGCGATGACTGCTTGGCTATGGCTAGTGGCTAGTACGCCTCTGCGGCGCGCGCTCGCGCGCGCAAGCTCGCGCGCAGAGCGGCCAGCTGGCTTGGCACAATCGATGCGGCCGCGATGGCGCTTGTCGATGGCAACGTCCGAACGCGTGTCAAAGACCGCGCTGGCGCGCGGGCACTTCAATACGGGTCGGGTGCTCGGGCGGGCGCGGCATTATGATGACGTCGACAACGGCGGCATCGTTGATGATAGTAGCGATGGTGGTGGCGATCATGATGGTGACAGCGGCAAGGCCAACGACAGTGCCGATGCTGGTGACGACGATGACGATGGTGATGTTCATGTGTCGGTGATGAAGGTGCTTGGGTGATGATGGCGGCATTTGCGGCGATTGTCGTTAATGATGATGTGATGGTGAGGAAGTGCGCGCGCGCAAATCCAAGAGCCCCAGCAAACTTTTTGTCGAAACGCACTGTTTCAGACGTTGGCGAGGAGCTCTGTTTTGACATGCTTCGACAAATTTTGGCTTTTGTGAGGATTTGGTCACGCTCGCGTGGCGGCGTTCGCGTGTGGCCCGCATGGTGTTGCTCGATGCGGGTTCGTGCAGAGGGCGCATGCTGGATCAACGCGGATGCATCGCGTGGTGGGATGAAAATGCGCTTTCTGTGCGAGATTGGCTGAAGTCCGCCGATCTGGCGTTTGAGTTTGCAAAAGCCACAGCCTGAGCTTCAGCTTTGCTGAGGGGGTTCAGGGGGGCTTTGCCCAGGTTAGGGGGGAGAGGGGGAGGTTTTGCAGTTTTTCCAGGGCCGTGGCCGGGCCGAGGGCTGAAGCTGGGGCAAGGGGCCCGGGCCGGGGCCGGGGCTGGGGCCGGGGCTGGCGGCTGGGTTGGGGCCGGGGCAGGGGCCAGGGCCGGGGCCCGGGCTGTTTGCGGGGCCCCAACAGGGCCCGGGCTGGGACCAGGGCTGGGGTCGGAGCCAGGCCAGGGGCGGGGCTGGGGCCGGTGCCAGGGCCGGGGCCGGGCTGCAGGGCCTGGGCTGGGGCCAGGGCCAGGGCCGGGGCCAGGGGGCCGGGGTCGGGGCTGGGGCCAGGGGGCCGGGGCCGGGACCAAAGCTGGGGCGGGGGCGGGGGCGGAGGCCGAGGCCGGAGTTCCTGCCCCAAACAGCCCCAAGAGGGCTCCAAGACGTCCCAAGCACGACGCAAACATTCCATTCAACACATCCTGCCTAAGGCGACTGCCAACGCCCTCCATCCCCCCCTCCTCCTCCTCCTCTCTCTCCTCCTCCTCCTCCCTCCTCCTCCTCCATCATCCTCTCCTCCTCCTCCATCCTCCTCCTCCTCCTCCTCAATCCTCCTCCTCCTCCTCCTCCATCTCCTCCTCCTCCTCCGCCTCCTCCTCTCCTCCCTCCCTCCTCCTCTCCTCCTCCTCTCCTCCTCCTCCTCCTCCATCCTTCTCCTCCTCCTCCCTCCTCCTCCCTCCTCCTCCCTCCTCCTCCTCTCCTCTCCTCCTCCTCTTCCTCCTCCCTTCTCCTCTCCTCCTCAGCCTCCTCTCCTCCTCCTCCCCTCCTCCTCCATCCTCCTCTCCTCCTCCTCCTCCGCCTCCTCCTCCGCCTCCTCCTCCTCCTCCTCCCTCCTCCTCCTCCTCCTCCTCCATCCTCCTCCTCCTCCTTGTCCTCCTCCTCCCTCCTCATCCTTCCTCCTTGCGTAATTATCCTCCCTCCTGCCTCCTCGGGGTAAGGCGCACAAGCTATTAAACAGGACGTGTTCGCACGGGGCGCCGCGGAGCGTCCCGGATCGGCGGCACAGGCTGGAGGACTCTACAATCATATGGTTTCCCAGTGATTTCAGCAAATGCGCGAGGGCAGATACTTTGCAATCTTTGTGATGAATGGCGTACGTTGTTTGTTGAACTCTTTGCGTAACTCGTGTGTTAGGTATGATTTCGACATTTGCGCGCGCGTGCGGACATTGTGGCGTTTGTTGCAAGGATTCTTGAAGCATGGTCGTTTGCGATGCGTGAGTGCGCGCTTAGTATCATTTGAAAAGGTTGAAAGGCGGGTGGGAGGGGCAATGCCGCTTTGGCTCGGATGGTATGATTTCGTATGGACGATGAACGATTGGGCAGAGCCATATGTATTTGGCAGTTTCCCAGCGGGTGCCGATCAGTCGGGGGCGAAGGGAGGGTGGCTGAGCCAATTTTTTTTTTCGCACGGAGAATCTAAGTGATGCGGTATATGCAGTGCAATATCTGTGGTGTGAGCTATGTGCTGGAAAGTATGTGGTGCGAGCTGTATTGTGTGAGCTATGATATGAGAGCTATGTGGTGTAAGTTGTGTGGTACACTCTATATGGTAAGAGCTACGGTGCAAGCTATTTGGTGCAATTCACTTTGCAGATCTTGAAGTCGTCAACTCCACTGCTCGCGCAATCATCCCCCCCACCCGCAACTTGTTTCGCACAACCCATACGGCCGCGGTTACGGTCACTAGTCGGCATTGGCTGGCGCATCTCTGCGGCTGCGCAAGCGCGCAAGCTCGCGAGCAGGGCGACCAGTTGGTTTGGCACAACCGATGTGGCCGCGATGGTGCTCAGCCATGGGAACTTCCCAGTGCGTCTCAAAGGCCGCGCTGGCGCGCGGGCACTTCAATGTGGGTCGGTGACTGGGCGGGCTCGGTATCATGATGACATCAACAAAGGTGGCACAGGTGGTCGTAGCGATGGTGGTGGCGATAATGACGATGACGACGGCAAGTCCAATGACGGCGCCGATGCTGGTGACGACGATGTCGATGATGGCGTCCATGTCGGTGATGAAGGTGTTCAACAGATAGATGGCAACAGTGGCGGCGAGTGACGACGACGATGCAGACTATGATTCGGCGGCGCTGATGAGGGTGATGTTGAGAAAATGCGTGCGCGCGGACATGACATGAACTTGGATTATTTTACTGCAATGCTGATGTTTTTTTATATTAGCCTCAGGCGTTCTATCTTGAAATGCTTCGCGAAAAACTGGTCTCGAAAGTGTGTCAACACGCGCGTTTGGCGGCGCGCGCATTTGGCCTCCATAGCTCGATTGATCCGGATTCGTGCAGTGGGCGCGTGCTGGATCAACGCAAATGCATCGCGTGGTGAGATGAGAATGCGGGTTCTGGGCGAAAAAGCTCAAAGTATTTGGTTTTCCGGTGGTTTCAGCACGTGCGCGAAGGAATTTACTTCCCAACTGAACTGTTGTTGGGTCCTCCTTTTGAGAAGACAGCGCCCCGCGTCATTCACCTCCCGCCCTCCTTTCCCTCCCTCCTCCCATCCGTGCTTCTGCTCTTCGCGTCAATCTACCATGTCGGCACACCCCTCGTTTCGTGGCCCCGTCGGGAGCTCCACCGAAGGTCCCAGTGCTACCGCCAGCATGCGTCCCTCCTACCCAGTGCAACAGTTCGTGGCCCCGCGGGGACTTCCACCGAAGGTCCCAGTGGCACCGCCCGCATGCGCCCCCCACCCACGCAGTAGAGCGTTTCGTGTCCCTGTAAGGGGGCTTCGCCGACGGCCCCAGTGCTACTGCCCGCATGCGACCCCCCCACCCAGTGCAGCGTTTCGTGGCCCCATAGGGAGCTCCACCGAAGGTCCCAGTGCTACCGCCCGCATGCGCCCCCCCGCCCAGCCCAGTGCAGCGCTTCGTGCCTCCATGTGGAGCTCCACCGGAACTCCACTGAAGGCCCCAGTGGCGCAGCTCGCATGCGTCCCCACCACCCATATCGGCACACCCCTCACACGTTTCGTGGCCCCATAGGAAAACCACCGAAGGTCTCAGTGGCGCAGCCCATGTCGGCAAATCCTCGCACGTCTCGTGGCCCCGTAAGGAGATGATCCACCGAAGGCCCCAGTTGCACAGTCCACAAGCGTCCCCGCCACCTCCAATTTCGGCGTATACCCCGCACGTTTCGGGGCACTATAGGGGAGTTTCACCGATGGCCCCATGCGTCCCCGCTAACCATTTCGGCACACCTCTCACACGTTCCGTGGCACCATAAGGAGCCCCGCCAAAGGCCACAGAGGCGGTGCCCACATGCGTCCCCGCCACCCATGTCTGCGCGCCCTTCGCGCGCTTCGTGGCCCCACAGGAAGCTCCACCGAGGGCCCCAGCGTCAGTGCCCACATGCGTCCCCGCCACGCATTTCGGCACGCCCCGCACACGTTTCGTTGCCCCATCGGAAAATCGACCGAAGGCCCCAGTGGCGGTACCCACATGCCCCAGTGACGCAGTCCACCAAACGTCCCCGCCACCCGTTTCGGCGCATACCTCACACGTTTCGTGGCCCCATCGGGAGTTCCACCGATGGCCCCAGTGGCGGTGCCACGTGCGTCCCCGCCACGCATTTCGGGACGCCCCTCGCACGTTTCGCGGCCCCATAGGGAGCTCCACCGAAGACGATAATCACAACAACTGCATATGGTTGGGGCCTTTGCCAGGCTAATTTGGAAAGAAGGGTTCTTGAAACATTATCCTTTGCGATGCGCGAGTGCGTGCGCACAGTATTATTTGGCAAGGGTGAGAGGGGGTTTTGGGGCGATGCTGGTTTGGCTCGAATGGTATGATTTCGCATGGACACTGAACGACGAGGCAGGGCCATATGTGATTAGGCGGTGTCCCAGGGGCTGCCGATATTTCCAGAAGGGGAAAACTTTAAGTCCATGTTTTTCTAACCAACTTGTTGTTGGGTCTTCGTTTTGAAGACAGCGCCCCGCGTCACTCACCTCCCGCCCTCCTTCCCCCCCTCCTCCCATCCGTGCTTCTGCTCTCCGCGTCAGTCTACCATGTTGGCACACCCCTCACACGTTTCGTGGCCCCATCGGGAGCTCCACCGAAGGTCCCAGTGCTACCGCCCGCATGCGTTCCTCCTACCCAGTGCAACAGTTCGTGGCCCCGCGGGGACGTCCACCGAAGGTCCCAGTGGCACCGCCCGCATGCGCCCCCCCACGCATTAGAGCGCTTCGTGTCCCTGTAAGGGAGCTTCACCGAAGGCCCAGTGCTACCGCCCGCATGCGATCCCCCCACCCAGTGCAGCGTTTCGTGGCCCATGGGGAGCTCCACCGAAGGTCCCAGTGCTACCGCCCGCATGTCCCCCACCCAGCCAGTGTAGCGTTTCGTGGCCCCGTAGGGAGCTCCACCGAAGGCCCCAGTGGCACCGCCCGCATATGCGTCCCCAGACCCACTACAGCGTTCCGTGGCCCCATAGGTGCTCCAACGACGGGCCGAGTGCTACCGCCCGCATGCGCCCCCCCCCCCGCCCAGCATAGCGTTTCGTGGCACCGCGGGGACTTCCACCGACGGTTCAAGTGGTACCGCCCGTATGCGTCACCCCCACCAGTGGTACAACGTCTCAGGGCCCCATAGGGACCTCCGCCGAAGCTACCAGTGCTGCCGCCTCTGTGCGTTCCGCCAAGTACAGCGTCTCGTGGCCCCACAGGGAGCTCCACCGAACGTCCCAGTGCTGCCGCCCGCATGCGCCCCCCCCGCCCAGCCCCGTGCAGCGCTTCGTGCCTCCATGTGGAGCTCCACCGGAACTCCACCGGTGCAACCGCCCGCATGCGCTCCCCCCCGTCGCACTACAGCGTTCCGTGGCACTACAGGGAGCTCCGCCGACGGCCCCGGCGCTGCCGCCCACATGCGCCCCACCCCGCTCAGCAAGCGTCTCGTTGCCCCGTAGGGAGCTCCCAGTGTCAGCGCCCGCATTCGCCCCCCCCCCCCTCGATCAGTATCGCGTTCCGTGGCCCATTGGGAGCTCCACCGACGACGATATCCACGTGGCTGGATTCTTCGCCAGGCGAATTCTTTGAGAGGAGCATCGAAGTCATGCTGCATGTGCGGTGCAGTATCCGTCGTGCGAGCTATGTGGTCTAACGTGCGTGGTGCCATCTGTGCGGCTCACGCGCGCGCGTGGCGGCGCGCGCCTGTGGCCTTCCTGGTTCTATGTGGTGCAGATTCGTGCATCGGGCGCATGCTGGATCAACGCGGAAGCACCGCGTTCATCGGGCGCATGCATCGGGCGCATGCTCGGGCGCATGCTGGATCAACGATAATCGTGCATCGGGCGCATGCAGATTCGTGCATCGGGCGCATGCAGATTTGTGCATCGGGCGCATGCATCGGGCGCATGCATCGGGCGCATGCTGGATCAACGATAATGCAGGGTCTGGACGAGATTTGAAAACTCATGTTGCTTCCTGGTGATGTCAGAGCGTGCGCGCGGGGAGAGCATTTGCAATCTGCTTGATGCACATCCCAATTTTCTGCATCTCAAAAATGGTGCGTTTGGGTATGGTTTTTGAATGTGCGCGCGCGTGTGGACTTTGTGCATTGTTTTGCAAGGGGTGCTTGAGCAATGACTGTAGGCGCATGGCATTGTTTAAGAAGGGTCAAAAGGGGGCGATAATCGGTCGCCTGTAATGCTATAAATTCAGATGTGAGATGAGCAATGAGACAGCGTCACTTGTATTTTGCAGTGCCCCCGGGGAAGGGGGGTCGATGACCCCAGGGGCGGAGGGTAGACGATTTTATATTTTAAAAGCAGAATTTCTGCAGGCGAAGGGCCAACCATATGCAGTTGTGAGTGTCGCCGTTGTGGGCATCGCCTTCGGTGGATCTCCATGTGGGGCCACGAAACACGTGAGGAATGCGCCGAAATGGAGCTGGGCCGTCATGAGAACGTCGCCACTGGGGCCTTCGGTGGAGCTCCCGATGGGGCCGCGGAGCCCTGTAGTGACTGGGGGAGACGCATGCGAACGCCGCCACCGGGGCCTTCGGTGGAGCTCTCTATGTGGCCACGAAGCGCTGTACTGGGTGAGGGAGGCGCCTGCGAACACCGACACAGGGGCCTTTGGTGGAGCTCCCTATCGGGGCACGAAGCGGTGTGCTGGGCGGGGGAAGCGCGTGCGAATACCGCCACAGGGGCTTTCGGTGGAACTCCCGATGCGGCCACGACGCGCTGTGCTGAGTGGGGGAGGCGCGTGCGAACGCGGCCACTGGGGCCTTGAGTGGAGCTCCCTGTGGGGCCACGGAGCGCTGTGCTGGGTGGGGGAGACGCATGCGAACACCGTCACTGAGGCCTCTGATGGAGCTCCCTGTGCGACCACGGAGCGCTGTGCTGGGCGGGGGACAGGCATGCAATCGCTGCCACTGGGGCCTTCAGTGGAGCTCCATATGGGGCCACAAAGCGCTATGCTGGGTGGGGAAAATCGCATGCGAACGCCGCCACTGAGGCCTCCGGTGGAGCTCCCTATGAGGCCACGAAGCGCTGCACTGGAAGGGGGAGGCGCATGCGAACACCGCCACAGGGGCCTTTGGTGGAACTCCCTATGGGGCCACGAAGCGCTGTGCTGCGTCGGGGAATCGCATGCGAACACCGCCGCTGAGGCCGTCGGTGGAGCTCCCTATGGGGCCACGAAGCGTTGTACTGGGTGGGGGGAATGCATGCGAACACCGCCACTGGGGTCTTCGGTGGAGCTCCCTATGGGGCCACGAAGCGTGTGACTGGTGTGCCAAAGGCGAGGGGATGCGGCATGCAAACCATGCCGCTGAGGCCGTCGGTGGAACCCCATGTGTGGGGCAGCGAAGCGCGCGAGAGGTGTGCCAGATTGAGCGGGGCGCGGCATGCGAAGGACCTTCGGTGTAGCTCCCCAAGGGGCCACGAAGCGTGCGAGGGGTGTGCCAAAATGGAGGGGGGGCGGCATGCGAGCCAAGTAATTGGGGCCTTCAGCGGAGCTCTCGATGGAGCCACGGAGCGTGTGAGGGGTGTGCCAAAACGGAGGGGTGCGGCATGCGAACCATGCCACTGGGGCCTTCGGTGGAGCTCCCTATGGGGCCACGAAACGTGTGAGTGGCGTGTTCAAATGGAAGGGGGTCGGCATGCGAACCATGCCACTGGAGTTCGGTGGAGCTCCCCATGGGGCGACGAGGCGTGTGAGCGGTGTGTCAAAGTGCTGGGGGTTACGGGAGTGCCGAACTGGTTGATATGCGGAGGGCAGATGCAAGGGTGGGAGGAGGGAGGAGCGGGAAGATAAGGAGGAGGATATGAGATGAGATGATATGCTATGAGGTGAGATGATCTGATATGAGATGAGATTAGAGGAGGGGAGAGGAGGACGCGGGGCACCGCCTCTTCAGAACGAGGACCCAGCACCACAGGATGGGTTGGAAACGAGAACCTGTGTGGTGTGAGCTATGGCGTGCACGCACGGGGCGCCCACGGGCGGCAGCGTGGCGAAGCCGTGGCGGACCCACCCAGCGCACGAGGCGGCCACGAGGTGGCCACGGGCGGCAACGTGGCGAAACCTCGGCGGGCCCACCCGGCGCACGAGGCGGCCTCGAGGCGGCCACGAGCGGCAGCGTGGAGAGTCCTCGCCGGACCCGTCCAACTCCGCAGCAGCGCAACAGGGAGCCCCTAAGCGCAGGCACTGTCTGGGGAACTTTTGGAGCGCCGCGCGGAGTGCTCGGATCTGCGCTGGATCCGTCACCGCCCCTGGCGCGCTCCGCGCTTCCTGGGCGGGGGCCCAGCGCGGAGCCAAGCAATCCGAAGGGAGTTCCGAAAGTTTATGCTTGTATCGTTTTTCTTCCTCTACCAGAAGGGGAGGGCCCCAGGGCGTGCTGGAACGTTTTCAGGGCGCTCTGGAATGGCCGCGGCGCCTTACACATCCTCCAGAGCCGCTGGGTCTCAGTGATCCCTGGCTTACGATTTTGCCCTGGTCCTGGCTTCGGGCATTAAGAGAACGCCCACCTAGACAAGTCGACCGAGGAAATCTGCACCGGTTCACTCGACATGGGTATTCGAGTGGACCGGTGCAGTCCCCAGTCGGTTTCGCTAATAGTCGCGCGTTTCGCTGGATACATTCGGTTGTTCTTGAACGTCGATTAGCTACCCCGCTGGGGTCCATTCGGAATGCGGTGCCGTGCGCAGGTGGAGTGCCCCGGGCAGCTTTCCCTAAAGGGCGCTTTGCTGACGGGCGTTTTGTCAGTCTTCGATGGCTTCGCCTTGAGGACGCAGGAAGCGCAGGCCTTCCAGTTCAAGATCCAGGGCGACGGCCCGGAGCGAGTCGTCACGCTGGAGGTGTCGCAGGCGTCAAGGGTGGGAAAACCACCCCGACCCCCAGCATCGGCGTTCACTCCGCTTCCCTGGGCGTTCTCGAAGACACCTTGCATTAACATCCATTATCGCAGCTCCGCGCGGACTTCTTGGATCGGCGCTGGGCCCCCCCCCCCCGGGCGGCGCCTCGTGCGCCGCCCCTGGCTCGCTCCGCGCGCCACGGAGAGGGATCTAGCGCGGATCCAAGACATCCGCGAGGAGCTCCGAAAGTTGATGTTCATGCCGTTCCTCTACGTTTATTGAACAGCCCTGCCCCGTTCGATTCCTTCCTTGGGTGCGCTTTCTACGGTCGGGAACTTTTGGTCCGTATGTTGCGCTATCGGTTCTGGCCCACCACGCTTGGGCGCGACATGCTGACCATTTCCAGGTCCCCACGCGTCAACATGCGTCAACGTCTCGGGCCTTTTCCCGCCTCCCGCCTCCCGCCCCCCGCAGAGCGGAGCGACACGCCATCAGCTTGCAGGGCACAGCGTGCCGCCAGAGCTGCCGCCACGACACGCTGAGCAGAAGTTCCCGACCGTAGACGGCCTCGCTTGTCGGGGTGCTTGATATGTGCGGGGCCCAAAGACGTGCACCACCACCACCACCACCACCACCACCACCACCACCACCACCACCACCACCACCTCCCTCATCCCCTCCCTCTCCCTGGGAGGGAGGAAAGGAAGAGGAGGGTAGAGGAGGGAGGGGGCATTGAATGCAGTGGTGGTGGTGGTGGTGGTGTGTATGGTTGGGGCCCGCATTATGAGGGTGCTTCTTCTGCTCTCCAAGGCGGCCCACCAGGCGCTCGACGTCCGCCTGGACGGCCTGCGTGGCCTCGGCTTCGAGCAGCTGGGCGGGCTCCTCGGCACGGAGGGGCACGATCGCCAGCTGGAGCAGGCCGCGGACGCGTGCAAGACCTTCCGGGTGCGGGCCAAGCAGGGCAGGTCCCAGGCCTCCCAGATGGGGTCCGGGCAGATGGGGCCGGAGGATCGCGCCGCATCACCGACGGCGCCGATGCATCGCCGACGTCGCCAGTGCATCGCCAAGGCATCGGCGATGCGTCGCCGATGCATCGGCGAAGCGGCACGATTCTCCGACCTCATCCACCCCGTCCCCAGCTAGGAGGCCTCTAGCAGGGTCGGGTCGCTGGTTGGCTCGGTCATGACCGCCTCCTGGGGCGCGCCATGAACTTCTGATCTTCGTCCCACGAGGGTGTGGTAGAACGGTAGATCACATTGCCGTTTCGCAATGCAGCCCCACGAAAAAGAGAGATCGGCGTAACATACACTTTCGGGGGCTACGTGAATTTGGATTTGCAATGGGTCCCCCTGGCGGCGCTTCTGGCGCCGCCCCTGGCGCGCTTCGCACGCCAGGGTAGGGTGTCCAGCGCCGATCCAAGAAATCCGCGCTGACCTCCAAAAGTTTAGGCTTATTCAGGTTTTTGATCCTAGCCTGTCGCCGCGCTGGAGCTCCTTCCTCCTTCGCGCGAGAGGTCGCAGCTCGGTCCCTGCTCTCGGCCTCGTGGTGGCTCTTGGCGCACTCTCGGCGGTCGTCGCGTTGGCCTCTCTCGTCGCTGCAGTCCGGGCGGGGCTCGTGGCGTCGAGGCGCCGGGCCTCCGCTCTCGGCTCGGAGCTCGTCATGGGCTCCTGCTGCTGCTTCTGCTGCTCCTCTTCCTCGAGCAGGGCGTTGGCAGACGCGCCGCTCCTTCTCCCGGGGGGGTCGAGTGCTGCAAGTCATGCTGTCTCGAAGTGTCCCGAGCGGGCGTGATCTGGCAGGGCAGGGGTGCCTTGCCGTGCCGTGTTGCCGAAGCGCTGCGCCGCTCTGTGGGGCCTGAGGGCACCAGGTGAGGCTGTGTTAGGCTGGAGGTCGTGTGCCACAGCATGCCGTATCCCTCCTCCTCCTCCTCCTCCTCCTCCTCCTCCTCCTCCTCGAAGGTATTTCTCGCAGGTCGCCCCGGGCGCCCTGGTCGGGTACTTCTTCGGCATCGCGGGGATCCTGGCCCAGCAAGGGCTCGGCCTGGCCGTCGTCTGAGACGGCTGCCGTGCACGCGCAGGAAGGGGGAAGGGGGGGAGGGAGAAGGGGAACGGCAGGAGGGAGGAGGAGGAGGGAGGAGGAGGAGGTGGAGGAGGGAGGGAGGGAGGGAGGAAGGGAGGGGAGGGAGGGGGAGGGAGGGAGGGAGGGAGGGAGGGGGGGGGAGGGAGGAGGGGAGGGAGGGAGGAGGGAAGAGGCGGAGGAGGAGAAGGAGGAGGAGGAGGAGGAGGAGGAGGAGGAGGAGGAGGGGGAGGAGGAGGAGGAGGAGGAGAGGAGGAGGAGGAGAGGAAGGAGGAGGAGGAGGAGGAGGGGAGGGGAGGAGGAGGAGGAGGAGGAGGAGGAGGAGGAGGCGGAGAAGGGTGAGGAGGAGGGGTGGAATCACGAGGAGGTTCTCGGCTGTCCGCGGAGGTTGTCGCATGTTTCCCAGAGGTTCGCAAATGCCATCGAAGGTTTTTGGGAGGTCTTGAACGTCGTCGGAGGTTTTCCAAAATTTGGGGTGGCTCCAGATGCTCCCCAGTGTTGCTAAACGTTGCACGGGGGTCCAGATGTGTCGAAAGGTTTCCAGGGTGGGACAGAGGACAAAGAGGAGGAGCGGAGGGGGAAGTGTGAGGGCGGAACAGAAGGATGATGATGATACCGATGATAATGCTGATGGTGATGATGATGATGATGATGATGATGATGATGGTGGTGATGATGATGATCATGATGACGTTGATGGATGATGATGATGATGCTGATGATGATGATGCTGATACTGATGATGGTGCTGATGCTGATGATGACGATCATGATGCGGCTGACGGTGATGATGCCGATGCGTATGCTGATGGTGGTGATGATGATGCTGCTGCTGATGCTGATGATGCTGATGATGATGATGATCATGCTCAGGATGACGATGATGCTGCTGATGATGATGCTGCTGATGCTGATGATGATGATGATGATGATGATGATGATGATGATGATGATGATGATGTGGCTGCTGCTGATGACGGTAACGATGGTGGTGATGAGGAGTATGCTGATGATGATGCGGATGATGCGGATGATGATGATGATGATGATGATGATGATGGTGGTGGTGGTGGTGGTGGTGGTGGTGATGATGATGCTGATTTGATGATGGTGATGATGCTGCTGCTGATGACGATGATGGTGATGGTGATGGTGATGGTGATGGTGGTGGTGGTGATGACGATGTCGCCGACGACGCCGACGATGGCGACGATGATGGCGACGGTGACGGCGACGGTGACGACGACGAGAATGACGATGTTGATTTTGCTGATGGTGATGGTGATTCTGATGATGATGATGGGCTAGGGTGAGGACGATGACGAGGACGATGTGGATACCGATCATGATGCGGATGATGCGGATGCTGTTGATGACGATGATGCTGCTGATGATTATGATGCTGATGATGCTGCTGCTGATGATGATGCTGATGGCGGTGATGATGAGCATGACGAAGTTGACGTTTTTGATGAGGATGGTGGTGATCATGATGATGATGATGATGCTGATGATGATGATGATGATGATGATGATGATGATGATGATGATGATGTTGCTGATGAGGACGATGATGCTGCTGCTGATGACGATAATGGTGATGGTGGTGACGATGATGATGCCGATGCTATGACGGCGATGATGACGACGATGTTGATGCTGATTCTGACGATTATACTGCTGATGCTGAGGCTGCTGCTAATGGTGCTGACGATGATGACGATGACGAGCATGACGAGAAGCACGGTGGCGACGATGCTGATCACGATGATGGCGATGACGCTGCTGACGATGCTGACGAGGATCAGGATCAGGAGGAGCAGGAGGGAGGAGGAGGAGGAGGAGGAGGAGGAGGAGGAGGAGGAGGAGGAGGAGGAGGAGGAGGAGGAGGAGGAGGAGGAGGAGGAGGAGGAGGAGGAGTAGTACCAGTGTAAACCCAAGAGGAATCAACGATGTTAGACTAAACCCTCCCTCCAAGTTCCCTCTTCATAGGCCCCATACGACGGTGCATTTTTACTGAGGGAACTGCCTCGTTGGAAGACAAGTGTTTGAAGATCGTGAAGCATGCCAAAACATTGTTCTCGGGATTCGAACGCCACGGATCAACCTGACTGTTGCGCCCTGACGATCCTAAATCGTGCCAGAGTTCCATTCTTTGGACTTGAACACCTGAATCCTTCCAAACACCATGCTTGGTACGTTGATCATGGGCATCCGTGAAACTCTTGCACATGTTTAATACGAGCGTGCTCGGCGCTTAGGCGAGAGTCCCACTTTGAAAGAAAAGGAACCGCCTTCAATCCGCGAAACTTTTGCAAATTTCTAAGACGACTGTGCGCGGCGCTAAGGCGAGAGCCACATTTAGAAAAGGAGCCGCCCTCAATCCGTGAAGTTCTTGCAACGGCTTAAGACGAATGTGCGCGGCGCTGAGGCGCGAGCCACATTTTGAAAACCACTCGCCCTCAATTCGTGAAACTCTTGCAAATGTCTAAACCGAATGCGCGAGGCGCTAATGCGAGAGCCACATGTTGAAAACCACTCACCCTCAATTCTTACAATTTTTAGCACGAAGGTGCGCGGCGCTAAGGCGAGAGCCACATTTTGAAAAGGAGCCGCCCTGGATCCGAGAAGCTCTTGTAATTTTTGAAGACGAGTGTGCGCGGCGCCATTGCGAGAGCCGCATTTTCAAAAGGAACCGCCCTCAATTCGTGAAGCTTTTGTAAAGTTTTAAGACGAATTTGTGCGGATCTAAGGCGAGAGCCACATTATTAAAGCGACCCACCCTCAATCCGTGAAGCTCTTGCAAATGTTCACGAATTTGCGCGGCGCTAAGCCGAGAGCCACATTTTGAAAACGACCCGCCCTCCATTTGTGAAACTATTGTCAATTTTAAAGCTTCAGAGTCATACATGGTAAGACAATCTCAGGCGAAACGTCCGGCCCGCTTTAAACAGTGGCCTCAGGGTGCGACAGGGAGAAGTTATTTATAAGGAGAAGGAATGGACGAGGAGGAGGAGGGGGAGGAGGAGGAGGAGGAGGAGGAGGAGGAGGAGGACACAGTGTTGGTCGCACCCCTCGGCACCCGCCCCGCCGTAGATGGGCGAGCCTCAGAGATGGATTAAATCCCAAAGTCCTGAGAAAGGCCGAACTTGACAGTCGGCGGCATGGGCCTTCTACTCAGTGTGGTCAGGTCACAACTTGCAGTCCGCAACTGGTTCCGATCCTTCTTCCTTCTATAATATGCTCTTGCTCCCCCCTTTGGCCGGCCGATAGGGGTTCCATCTGGGCCCTCCCATCCTATCTATAAAAAATCAATACAAAGTCGTGTTTTTTCTCTCTCAGCATGGCCTTTCTTGTCGTCGACGATGCGAAATGCGTAGCAGGAAGAGGACGCGGCGCACATCGCACGCGGCCGTCAATCCGAGCCCTCCCATCCTAACTGAAAAATCAATACAACGTCGTCGTTTTTCTTTCAGCATGGCCTTTCATCGGCGATACGAAATGCGTAGCAGGAACGGGACGCGGCGCACATCGCGCGCGAACGTCTGGGGCACCCCCAAGCGGGAGGGTCCATACTACCTGTCAGAAGCCACACAACAAAGTCGACATGCTTCTTCTCAGTGGCGTTTTTTTTGTCGTCGGCTTTGCGAAATGCGTGGCAGGAATGGGGCGCGGTGCACATCGCGCGCGACAGGGCGAAATGTCGCTCTCGCTTCGGCGACGCGAGCATGTTTTCTGAAAGCTGCGCTCCCGCTAAGGCGCGGCGCACATTTTTCGCTGGCCAATTCGTCGAGCGCCTAGGGCCTCCGAGTGTCTCCTGGGACATCCTGGGGCTTCCCGGGGCTTCCCCAGGGCTTCGTAGATCCTCCTGGAGCCTCCTGAGGCATCCTGGGGCTTCCTGGGATTCCCCGGGGGCTTCCTGAGACTTCCTAGGGCTTCCTGAAGCCTCCTGGAATTACCTGGGGCTTCCTGGGCCCTCCTGAAGCCTCCTGGGGCTTCCTGGGGGGCGCTGGGGCCTCCTGAGGCTTCCTGGGGCCTCCTCGGCTCGTGCTGAAATGCCAGCGTAGTCTTTGAGACGCGCCAGCGATTTCTTATCGGTAACCGCCATCGCGGCTGCATCATCTGTGGCAAACCACCTTGCCGATCTGATTTTGGTCCCCAGTTGCGCCAGCACTGTTTCTTATGTTGTGGGAGGGCGGGTGGGAATGAGCATGCCATGCTTGACTCGCTCGAGCTGGCTAGCTTGACTCCTACTTCTACTCCCTCCCTCCTTGTCTCCCTCGCCCCCCTCCCTCCCTACCTCCCTCCATCCCGCCCTCCCTCCATTTCTCTTTCCCCCCTCCGCTTCGGCGCATCTCTCGATCGCTCGCACAACCTGTGTTGACGACAGTATTCCCAACGCCCCATACAGCCAGGGAGCTCCAGGTTTCTCTCGACGAGACCGTCCTCTTTGACAGCATGTCGGGTCATAAAATTCTCCCTGGCAAAGTTATGGGATGGGCCATTGGAGGAGAGCTCAACGGCCAGGTCGCTGATCTCCACCTGCGCGGGCAACCGCTCAACAGTCACCACCAGGTGAAGTTGGTTGGAAATTATATCAACATGGCGCCTGAGATCGAGGGTCCAGGAATCAACCGGGAAGCCATTGCAGATGTCAGGGTTAAATCGGCTATTAAACGCCTCTCCCTCGTGGGGCGCCTCCCAGAAAACATTAAACTAAGGGTTCGATCCGTCGGATCCATGGCCGCCAGTATGCGCACCGCAGCTACGGACATTCAAGCCCCAAGTGACAGAGCGCGTACTTTGTACAACAACATGGCCTTCGCAACGGGCACTTTACGCCCTAGCGGTCCCAGGCCATGCGACTGAGCTAGAAGCGCTACTGGGGCTTCGAAGGCAGGCGCGGAGAGAGACAAGTCTCGGCGCAGAAGCCGAGTCGTTCCACAGCCATGCACGAACGCAGAATTGGGCAAACCGTTGCCCAACTCGACTGGACATGGCCCGAGTTCGGCACCCTACGCGATTATTGGGGCACGCGCCTATCCTGGCCGCAAGTCCCAGCCGGCCTTTTCACCCACATGCTCCGCGCCTCGAAGCGGGCAATTTTTATGCGGCGCATCCCTACGACCAGGCACGATCTGGGAGCCGTCGCCGCTGTCAAGCAGGGCTTCGGTTATTTTGCCAACACGTGGCTCTTCAGGACCAAAGGCAAAGCCAACTGCACGGAATGGCAACTCGGGCCCGTCTGCAATTATCTCTGCAGAGGTGACCATGCCCAACAGAGGAACGTCAAAACCGGTATGGTGTCTCGGCTGACCAATCCCCCTTTTGCAGGCGGTGCGATCAAGAAGAGGAAACCACGGAGCACGCCGTCTGGAGATGCCACCGCTGGACTAACCAGAGGACCACCTTCGAGACCATGATTGCCGAGCACAGTGGCAATACCTCTCACCGCATACCAGGCGCTGCGCCCTCCTGACAGAGGACCCCACCCTGCTCGCCACCCTGGCAGAGGACGAACTCCCACAGCCTATCCCCAGACAGTCCAAAGGGGAATGCCGATGACGACGATTACCAGAAATACGCCGACGAATTCGGTGCCAGATGAGTCTACGCTGCCGCCGGCGGGGCATGCTCTAGCCAAGCCCACCCCTGTCTGGCCATGGCGGGCTTCGGAATGTACTACGGGCTGGGCAACCGGCCCAACCACTCCGCGCGAGTGTACGGCCTCGCGCAGTCCGCGCAGCGTGCCGAAACTCTCGCCATGCTGTGCCCCGTGGCCACTGCCGAGCGGCCGGTGCACGTCTTCGTGGGCAACCGAACTCTGGTGGAAGGGTTCGAAGACCTCTTGCGAGTGAAGCCGCCCCAGCGCGTCTGACCGCCGTCGGGCCTCTGGCGCAAAATCCATCGGGTGCTCCGAGCCAAACCCGATCTTGTTTAAACCCAGACATTCGAAAGCCACTTTGGAGTGCTAGGTATCAGCGACGGCCGCATCGCGCCCGTCGCGGGAGTTTTCAACGGACATGTCGACGAACTCGCCACAGCGGGGGCTAGGTTGCACAGCGCCCCACAGGATGTACCGACGCTGCCAGATGGCGCCGCAAGTTCGCCGCGTTCCTGCTTGCTGCGGCTGTGGCAATATACCATCAAAGGCACCGCATACTCCCTGTTCCTCGCAGACGTGCGCGATATTGCAGAAGTGCAGCCGCCCACCACCAGCCTGGGTGGAAAGGATCGGATAGGACAGCCCCGATGGGGAAGAGTCTCGCAAGACTACGCGGCCGTTGAGCGGCCGCTCCCGCGGGGACCTGGCCACTGCCTGAGGTGCTAGGCCCCCAACCACCTGGCTCCAGCACGCGGACTACTTCGTCGGTGATGACCTTGGCCCCCTTGGTTTTGGGGCTTCCCTCACTTGCGAAGACATCTGCGCTCGCCCGCCACACAGAGACGCCAATTTGGAGATGTCCGCGCCCCCAACGGACGCACCGACAAATGTGGTGCCGCCCCGCTCCACCTGGGAGTGCACCTGCGCGCCGCATGGTAGGGGTCGCGGACTGCGCTCCGCAAGGGGCCAGCGCCGCCGCCCCAAACCGCTGGGCTGGCCTGTGCTACTGCGCACCAGCCGACCGACGCAGTGCTGCCTGCCACTGGGCCCCCCCGCCCCACCAGGGAACGGGGGCCAAGGGCCCTGATGCCACCCGCCATGGTGCTGGCAACCGGCTGACCGCAGAGCACGGCGCTGATCGGAGGAACGCCCTCAGCCAGCACCTCACTGCGACGGGTCAGCAGCGACGAGAGGGCCGCGAGACAACCCTCACTGCCGGCGTTCAAGCACCTAATCGGCGCGTCAACCGGCTGGTGACTTACTTCCTCTCACCAGATACAGGAACAGTCAGCTCTGCTGACAGACAGGTTCCATCGTGCACGAGAGGCCTGGGCTCCTACACAACAGGCTTCCCGCCCTGGCGCGCCCACAGGGACCGCCCTCCACGGGTACCTCCAGACCTCCTTCCGCTCCCAACAGGCGGCGCACCAGTGCTACCCCCCTTCCTCGTGGGCCGTGTGAACACTTGGTGCCTATTCCGTTGTCTACCTCTTTTGGGCCGTTGCGGGGGATGCCACAACGCGGCGCCTCTTTCCGCAGGGCGCTGAGGCGCTCATGCCAACCCACGCTTAAAGCCAACGCCTCTCTGCGTGCGGTGGCGCAGACGGGCCTCCGTGGGGTCTGATCACCGCCGACCCTCTCCTTTTTCCAGCCTGGGACCCTTTTGTCCGCGCCAGGGGGGGGGTCATCCCACCGCCCCTGTTTAGCATGCGGCGCCTCCCGCTTTGTGAGGCGGGTCCGCCTTGAGCACCTGCTGGTCGGGGGCCCAGGCGGTGACGCTGTCCGAAGTCGTGCGCTCTCCCCCTCCTCTTCTTCCCGCCTCCTCCCCTCTTCCCTCCCTCCTCCCCCTACACCGGTCCTGGGACCAGGGATTCGCCTGCCCTTCGACTTCCGCGCTGGGCGATTGTGGATTGTCGCGTGGTCGAGCCCTCCCCTGTTCGCCTCCTTTCCCTCCCGAGGTTGGCATGAACGTTAGAGCAGAGGCCGACAGTTGACGCCCCAAAATGGTGGGCAGTCAGTGCTGGGCGGGGGGCGGACCTCCTCCCTCCTCCGTCCTCAGCATCGGTGATTCGGTGATGGGGGAGTGTCTTGTCGAACGAACGACTGAAGCCCTCGAGCCCCCCCCCTCCCCCCCGCGGCCTGCGGGGAGAGGGCGAGAAAAAACCCAGAGGTAACGAGAGAAAATAGAGTGGGAGGACGGATTCCTGTGACCATGAAGGAAAGAGGAACGAGGGGAAGCTGAGCTCCAGCGTTGTGCGGGTGCAGAGATTCACCGCCCACCAAACCACCCCAACCCAACCCGAAGGCCCCGATTTGCCCTCCCTTTCCAGTGGGGGCTGGTCGGGGAGCATTGAAAACGCACATGTGAAGCCTGCACCTCTCCCCAACCCGAAATTCGGGTCTTCGGGTTGGGTTTCGGGTGGTCTGGCATCAGGAGGGGAAAAAACACAGACACAATGAATCGTCGATCCCCAGGAAAATATGGAAAAATATGGGAAGGGGGGGGGAGGACAGAAACCCAGAACATGTGGGGAAATATAGGGAATCCTTTGATTTGTATGTTTTTTTTTGTGTGTCCTGGGGCCCCTTCGTGGTAGGCACAGTCCGAGGCGGACCGACTGTGGGCCCCGCCCTCCCTTGGGGAGGAGGGCGATGCCCGCCTCCTCGGCGCGCCCCTCCTCGAGGAAGGGGCCCGCCCTCGACGACGGCGACGACGACGACGCCGACGTCGACGACGACGAAGACGACGACGACGCCGACGCCGACGACGACGAAGACGACGACGACGTCGCCAACGGAGACGACGACGAGGGAGGAGGGAACGACGACAGCGACGACAACGACGAGGAAGGGGGGAGGACGGCGACGACGCGAACGACGCGTGCGGGGGGGAGGCCGCAGGAGTGGCCCGTGCAGGCGGGGGTCGGGCGATCGCAGACATGGATCAAGGTCGCCAAGTCCACGGATCGCCAATCCATGTCTGCGCGCCCCCAGGGGGGTGGGGGGGGAAGAGGGGCGCGGGCGCCGAGATGGGTACGGGGCGCCGTGACAGCGGCTGTGCGAAGAGGATGGGGCAACGCGAGAGGCGGGAGTCGAGAGGGCAGACGAGGAGGTGGAGGCGTGCAGTCCTCCGCCTCCGCCTCCTCCTCTTCCTCCTCTGCTCCGCCCTGCTTTGGGGGCCTTCCGGGCTGCCCTCGTCGCCGCGGCTGGGCGCGGCTTTCAAGATGAGCCAGGGGGTCTAGGGACGGATTCGGAACGACTCACAATCGGCCCAGATGAGTAGGTCGACCCTGCCACATCAAGGGTACCCTTGTGTCCTGTGTCTCGCGACCCATGCTTCCTATGGCAACGTGGCCCTCGGAAGGGTCTTGTGTCCTCTCGCGTGTCCTGTCCAATCGAGTCCGACTGAACCTCTGGGAGGCCCCTGACATCTGGGCGTGGCGAAAGAAAACGTGCAGCGGACGTTTTCGCGGGCCCAAGACCCTCACAGACCGATTTGGTTCCGGAAAATCAGGCGTAACATTTTCTGTCGGGAGCTCCAGCCAGGATTTTTCACGGCGCTGTGACTTTTCTCGCATCGTGGGATGCCTGGGCTGGGCGATGGTGGACGGTGCTGGGGGCGGTGGGAACTTCTGCTAATTCCAGCGCTGCGCCTCGGGCGCTGGGCGGTACTTCAGTTTTCAGTTTTCTGCTCATAGAGGGAGTCCGGGCCACCTTGGTCGAGACCTCTTGATTCCAGAGCGAACTGAGCTTGATTTTGGCGGGCGCTTTTCTACTCTCGCTCAGCTTTGTTTGAAGCCAGTCCAGCTGCGGAGTCGGGGGCCCAGCTGGCGCGACCGTCTCCTCTATGATGCACGTATCTTTTATCCTGCCCCAGCCCTCCAACGGCATACTTTTTTCACGACGTGGGCCCACGGAGCCATGGGCCCCATCCCTTGTCGCGGGCCTCCTGTCGCGGCTCCTGGGGCCCGACGACCACCTCCCCCTGCCGGTCGCGAAATCGTGAGAGAGCGCTGCCGTGGGAGCTGCGGGGCAGCGCCTGGGGGTTTCTCGTTGGCTGGGAACGTGTCCATGCCCACGGCCTCGCGGGGTTTGCCGCGAATGCCCCGCGCGGAGCGCACCCGTGCGATCGCACATCCACGGGGCCGCGCCCCAGGAAGCCAGACCGCGAGGGCGTGTCCGTGGACCTGTTCGCCGCCCGCGCGGCCTGCTCTGCCGGGCGCTCCCTCCCCTGCGCGAGGCCGGCCTCCGCGGGCGCCGAGGGGAGCGGCCCCTCGCCGAGCGCCGTCTCGCTCCCCCCCCCCCCCCTTTCACGCCCGCGGAGCCCCAGTCCGGCGGCGCGCGGGCAGCAGCAGGGATCCAGGCTTGGCTGCGCCCCGGGGCCGCAGGAGCAGGCGCGGGAGGTACAGCTAGGGGGCCACGTGCGAACCCTACCCCGTCCCCCCACGGTTTCTGAGGGGGAGGGTGGGGTTCACTTCGTTGGAGAGCTCCCGAGCGAAGTGAACCCCACCCTCCCCCTAAGAAACCGTGGGGGGTAGGGGTAGGGTTCGCATGTGGCCCCCTAACAGCAGCTGCCCGCGAGGCCGCAGCAAGGGAGCGCCTCGCGGCGTGCAGGCTGCGCCGTGGCCTCGGGACCCTGGGGGGGGGCGGTGGAGGACGGCCGGGCTGGCTGCTCTTGTCCCCTATCGCTTCCCCCGGGGGAGGGTCGGAGGCTTCGAGGGGTGTGTGTCGGAAGGCAGGAGGGCTTCTAAGGCTCTGCCTTCCCAGAGGTCCATCCCCCTCTCGCCCACGCCCCCTTCGTGCGCCGCTGGCCCGTGCGATGTGGGGGTGGTTCATCCTCGTCCTCGGCCTCGGCCTCGGCCCCCTCGCCTCGCTGGTTGGCATGGGCCAAGGGGGGTTCTCAGGGAGCTAGGCCCCAAGATGTTTCGCCATCTTTGACCCCTCGGAGCTTCTTCACGGGCCTTTGACGCAGTCAAATGTTGACTCGGGAGGAAAAGCCGATGCGGGGAAGCCATGGGTATCCACGGCTCGTTCCCCTGTGCCTCCTCCATATGACCTATTCTCTTCCCCCTCGTTTCCCCTTCCCACAATCCTTCTTTCTTCTTCTTCTTCCTCCTCTTCTTCTTCTTCCTCCTCCTCCTCTTCTTCCTCTCTCTTTCTCCTCCTCCTCCTCCTCCTCCTCCTCCTCCCCCTCCTCTCCCTCCATCATTCCTCCATCATTCCTCCTCCGCCTCCTCCTCCTCCTCCTCCTCCGCCTCCTCCTCTCCCTCCATCATTCCTCCATCATTCCTCCTCCTCCTCCTCCTCCTCCTCCTCCTCCTCCTCCTCCTCCTCCTCCTCCCCCTCCACCTCCTCCAGGCGGCCCGAGCTGTCACCACCGCACCTCAGCCGTCTGCACACGAGTGGCGGGTCATGTTTTTTTTTTTTTTTTTTTTTTTTTTTTTTTTTTTTTTTTTTTTTTTTTTTTTTTTTTTTTTTTTTTTCTCCCCCAACCATCCTGTGGTGTTGGGTCCTCGTTTTGAAGAGACAGCGCCCCGCGTCTCCTCTCCTCTCCTCTCCTCCTCCTCCTCTCCCCCCTCCTCCCTCCTCCCATCGCCGTCATCATACTCATCGTCATCATCATCATCATCCTCATCTTCATCATCATCATCATCCTCGTCATCATCATCATCATCGTCATCATCATCATCATCATCATCGTCATCATCATCATCATCATCAGCATCATCATCATCATCATCATCATCATCATCATCATCATCATCATCATCATCATCATCATCATCATCATCATCATCATCATCATCATCATCATCATCATCTCATCATCATCATCATCATCATCATCATCATCATCATCATCATCATCATCATCATCATCATCATCATCATCATCATCATCATCATCATCATCATCATCATCATCATCATCATCGCCATCGCCATTAGTTCCCATTTCCGCACACCCCTCACACGTTTCGTGGCCCCATAGGGAGCTCCACCGAAGGCCCCAGTGGCAGGGTTCGCATGCCGCCCCCACCCCACTTTGGCACACCCCTCACACGTTTCGTGGCCCCATAGGTAGCTCCACCGAAGGCCCCAGTGGCAGGGTTCGCATGCCGCCCCCACCTCACTTTGGCACACCCCTCACGCGTTTCGTGGCCCCATAGGTAGCTCCACCGAAGGCCCCAGTGGCAGGGTTCGCATGCCGCCCCCGCCCCACTTTGGCACACCCCTCACACGTTTCGTGGCCTCATAGGGAGCTCCACCGAAGGCCCCAGCTCCACCGAAGGCCCCAGTTCGCATGCCGCCCCCACCTCACTTTGGCACACCCCTCACGCGTTTCGTGGCCCCATAGGTAGCTCCACCGAAGGCCCCAGTGGCAGGGTTCGCATGCCGCCCCCGCCCCACTTTGGCACACCCCTCACACGTTTCGTGGCCTCATAGGGAGCTCCACCGAAGGCCCCAGTGGCAGGGTTCGCATGCCGCCCCCATCTCACTTTGGCACACCCCTCACACGTTTCGTGGCCCCATAGGGAGCTCCACCGACGGCCCCAGTGGCAGGGTTCGCATGCCGCCCCCACCCCACTTTGGCACACCCCTCACGCATTTCGTGGCCCCATAGGGTGCTCTACCGAAGGCCCCCGTGGCAGGGTTCGCATGCCGCCCCCACCCACTTTGCACACCCCTCACACGTTTCGTGGCCCCATTGGGAGTTCCACCGACGGCCCCAGTGGCAGGGTTCGCATGCGTCCGCGCCACCCATGTCGACACACCCTTGACACGTTTCGTGGCCCCATAATGAGCTCCACCGAAGGCCCCAGTGGCAGAGTTGGCATGCCGCCCCTCGCCCATTTCGGCCACCCCTCACACGTTTCGTGGCCCCATAGGGAGCTCCACCGAAGGGGCCCCAGTGGTTGCGTTCGCATGCGTCCCCACCACCCATTTCGGCACAGCCCTCATACGTTTCGTGGTCCATAGGGAGCTCCACCGAAGGCCCCAGTGGCTCCCCACCACCCATTTCGGCACACCCCTCACACGTTTCGTGGCCCCATAGGGAGCTCCACCGAAGGCCCCAGTGGCTGCGTTCGCATGCCTCCCCACCACCCATTTCGGCACACCCCTCACACGTTTCGTGGCCCCATAGGGAGCTCCACCGAAGGCCCCAGTGGCAGGGTCCGCATGCCTCCCCACCACCCATTTCGGCACACCCTCACACGTTTCGTGGCCCCATAGGGAGCTCCACCGAAGGCCCCAGTGGCGCGGTGCCTATGAGAAGAGGGGCCTAGTTTGCGTGCCCCCTCCTTCGTCTCATATCCGTGCGGTACTCGCAGCTGCATATGGTTGGGTCCTTCGCCAGTTTTTTTTTTTTTTTTTTTTTTTTTTTTGTTTTTGTTTTTTTTTCTTTTTTTTTTCTCTCTCTCTCTCTCTCTCTCTCTTTCTCATCAGTGACGAGCCGCACGGCGGCGGCTCTGCCCCATGAGCGTCACGGGCGGTGAGTGGATGTGGCTCGCTTGGCATTTTGTCCTTCTTTCGACTCTCTCACGCGACCTCACGTTGTGTGCGCCCGCACCACCTGGGCTGTGGCACCCCTCTCTGGGCCGCTCTGAGGCGCGCCGCCGCGCAGATCGGATGATAAAGGTTACACATGGCGCGCGCAGTGCACCTCGACAAACTGGAGGGCCTTCGGGAGAGCGCGGAGGAGACGGCACGCAGAAGAAAGCTGGAGGCATCGACGTGAGCACGAACGGCATCGCAAAGTACAAACACGGTCTCGAGCCGTACCAGATCACCTTCCCGTGCGAGAGGTGGCGGATGTCCCCAGGGGGAGCTCGGCCGCGTGTACGACCTGTTCGACCGCAGCTGCACGATGCGAAACACCCTGCAGGAGGAGACTTTCAAGGACACGTCCGAGGATGGGGGCCAGGAGGAGCTCGAGAAAGCGGACCAGGCGACCGTCGACGGGCTCGACGTGCACAATCAGTCCGAGAAGGTCACGTTGGAGGGGATGCGGCAGATGGGGGCTTCCGACACCGACGCGATGGGCACGGAGAACTGCCCCGCCATTGGCACCACCGTGCGGGAGACGTTCAACGAGGCGTTCAAGGACGGGGGCCAGGAGAAGATCGAGAAGGCGTGCCAGGCGACCACTGATGGGCTCGACACGAACACGTGTGTCCGAAAGTGGTGCGTTCGAGGGCATGCATGGGGAGCTGAAGGGCACCGTGAACCCGACCATGCCAGCGCAGTGCCAATCCGTTGACAGGATGCAGGAGAATCTGGTGTCCATGGCACGGATGGGGTGGATGACGCCGTGCGCCGATTTGGAGGACTGGCCCGTAGATGTCCTCTACTGTGCGCTGCACTTGTGGGAAGACGTAGGCATCTCGGACAGAACCGATGGCCTCGATGAGGTCATCGACTGAAGCGGCGGTGAATCTGAGGGGCCGCGCTGCTCCGCCTCGCCTCTCTTCCTCCTCCGCCTCGCGTGCCGCCCCTGCCCCTCCGCCTCGCCGTCCTTTCGCAGCGAGGCAAGCAGCAGCAAGAGAGTTTAACGCGTGCGGGGGCTGCCCTGTCTTCTTGGGTGCTCTGCCCGCTGTGTTAAATGCCCAGGCCCCCGCGCAGGCAGCGAGCCGCTGCATCTGCCTACGCGTTTATGCTCTTCCGAGCTCGCTGGCAGAACGGGGGTGTAGATAAGTTGGCCCCCTGGTTTTCAGAGGCGGCGGCCGAGTAGGCATTGAAGCGGCTGGGTGAGAGCTCTTCGCTGGCCGTGAACAGCCGGGTGATGGGAGAGATGCGGAGGGCCGCCCTGCAGTGGCTCGTGTCGGCGCGGAGCGTTGCACGCACCGTAGGCCCCGCTCCACGGAGGCCGTTGGAGAGAGAGGTCGGCTAGCTACTCGCGGGCGACAGTGCAGCAGCAGCTGCTTTGAAACATAGGAGTACCAGATCCGCTGAGCTGGTGCGTCTGTGAGCGTGCCTGCGAATGTGATGCAGTCTTCTCGTCTCCAATCTTACGCTTTTCCCTCTCTCCCTACTGTTCCCGTCGTCCGTCTTGCTCCTGCTCGTCCGACGGGCAAGCATAGGAGACACAATTCTGACCCGCCTGCCGCCCGGAGAGGTAGAATATTCGCTCGCGGCACTGCTAGCTGGCGAGGACGGGGCAATGGTCCCGCGGCTGATAGCAGAACGGGGGGTGGGGAGGCTGGTGGATCGGAGGCTGCCCCGTGAGCGCTGGTCCCCAAGGGGTGCCCGCCACGGCTGCGCGCCCAAACGGCGGATCGCCCTGGAGGGGCATCGTGAACGCCCGCTCGAGAGGCCACTCGGATTCAGTAGAGGTTACATATCGAGAATGGCTGTCGCGAAGACAGCGCTCATTCGCCTCGTAGTCACAACGTACATTTCCCAGGGGCTGCCTTGCCGTGCCGTGCTTTGCCATGACTTGCCTTGTGTTGCCTTGCCTTGCCTTGCCTCCTCCTCTTCCTCCTCCTCCTCCTCCTCTTCCTCCTCCCCCTCCCCCTCCCCCTCCCCCCCCATCCCCCTCCCCCTTCCCCCTTCCCCTTCCCCTCCTTCAGCGCCTTCCCCTTCCCCTCCCCTCCTTCCTCTTCCCCCCCATCCTCCTTCTCCCCCCTCCTTTCTCCTCCTCCATATCGTCCGTCCTTCTCCTCCTCCTCCTCCTCCTCCTCCTCCTCCTCCTCCTCCTATCCTCCCATTTGTCCCCCTTCCCCTCCCCCGCTCCCCTTCCACTCCCCTCCTCTTCCTTCTCCCCCCCTCTTCCCCCTCCCCCCTCCCCTCCCCCTCCCCTCCTCCTCCTCCTCCTCCTCCTCCTCCTCCTCCTCCTCCTCCTCCTCCTCTTACTCCTCCTCCCTCCTCCTCCTCCCCTCCTCCTCCTCCTCCTCCCCTCCTCCTCCTCCTCCTCCTCCTCCTCCTCCTCCTCCTCCTCCTCCTCCTCCCCCCTCCTCCTCCTCCTCCCTCCTCCTCCTCCCTCCTCCTCTCCTCCTCCTCCTCCTCCTCCCTCCTCCTCCTCCTCCTCCCTCCTCCTCCTCCTCCTCCTCCTCCTCCTCTTCTTCCTCCTCCTCCTCTTCTTCCTGCTTTCCCCCGTGGTGTGGGGGGGGGCAGTTACTGCTTTGCTGGGTACCGTCTCCTGGTGTTCGGCCCTACGCCGCGGGGACATTGACAATGTCATGTGCGCTTCACGGCTTGGTGTCATCATGGCGGCTCGTCCTCTTGGTTCCGCCCCGCATTACCTTGCCTGGGGCTGTGGCGGTCAGATGCGCCCGTGACGCTGGAGCCACCTTGGGCTTCCAGGCGCGGGGATCGTGCATTTGGTGGGGTGGCGGGGCCGTGTGGTCCATAAGTCCCATGGGGCCTTCGTGCCTATTCGTCCTGTGGTACCAATCCAGCTGCACGTGCCATACGTTTTGGCAAGGGTTAATCGTCGGGAAGGACCTCACAGTGAAAAGGTGAAACGATCGTCCCCCCACGCACCACCGCCATCATGTATGAGTAGCGAGACGCGGGGTGACAAGTCGCGTACCTCGACCGTGTTGCGTGAGATCTTCGCCGATGGGCGAGCGGCTTCCCCTGCACGTGCGGAAGGTGGTCTCCCCGTGTGGGGGCGGAAGGCGGTCCGTTTTGCGATGAGGCAGTATTCTTTGTGAGGCAGTCCTCTCGCGCGAGTTCGCTTCTTCTTCCTCCATGGCTCCATGGCTCCATGGTTCCTCTTCCTCCTCTTCCTCCTCCTCCTCCCCCCCCCTCCCCTCTCCCCCTCCTCCTCCTCCTCCTCCTCCTCCTCCTCCTCCTCCTCCTCCTCCTCTTCTTACTCCTGTTCCTCATCCTCCTCCCCCCTCCTCCCCCCTCCTCCTCCTCCTCCTCCTCCTCCTCCTCCTCCTCCTCCTCCTCCTCCTCCTCCTCCTCCCTCCTCCTCCTCCTCCTCCTCCTTCTCCTCCTCCTCCTCCTCCTCCTCCTCCTCCTCCTCGCCCGTGTGGCGCAGGCCGCTGCTTTTGTTTGGGGTTGTGCTGGTTCGGGGCCGCCCGTGGACAGCTGGGGCCCGTGCCGCTGCGGAGGGAGCGCGGCTTCTGGGCCGAATTCGGGGGCTGGTTTCGCTGCTCCATGGGCACCGTGCAGCCGAGACGCTGAAATAAAGGACCGCGGTGGGCCCACGAAGCGTTCAGGTTTTCGGGCCGTTCCGTAGCTTCAGGTCGGGTGCCTTGCTCGTGGCCGGGGCTCGTCCCCACCAGAAGCAATCTCTGGATTCCTTATGTAGCGTTCCTTGTGGTAGCACGATGGCTGTATTGCCGTATGGGCTCGAGTGGCCAATGGCACGAGGTGTTCAAAAAAGGGCCTCGCCTTCGATGGCCGAAGGATTTGGCATGCCTTCCCAGGCGGAAAGAGGCGGATTGTCGGCGGAAACAAAACGGTCCCGTAGCCCTCCCAGGATCAGAGGATCTATGCGGGGCTACACTCGTTGTGCTACTCTTGCAGGTCCGGGGGTGCAAAACGTTAGGCGTTTCCCCAGCAATGTACAAGGATGTGCTCCTAAGGCATGACAGTTTTTTAAGGTTCAAGCTTTCCGTAACCCGCCACATGCTTTGCCGTAGCCGCGGGGCTCAGTTTCCAGCGTTTTTCCCCACATGTTTCGTGGGGTTCTGGTTTTCTTCGCACCCGCGTCGCACCCGCGTTTCCCTCACTTCCCGCCTCCCCCTTTCCTCCTCCTCGCCTTTCTCCCCTTCACCCACACGTAACGCATGCACTGCACGTGCATCAGACACGCGTCTACATGCAGCCGCACGCATGCACACACTCGCACACACACACACACAACATACACCATACAACGCTAATGCACGCCTGGCGTGTTCATAGCATCATACACCCAAAACGTATGCACAACATATTGGGCACCCACATGAGGCACACGTCCCGATACGGCCGCACACGCATCATACACATACACATACACATCACACGCCATACACAAATCGCACGTGTAGGATGCGCAGGGCACGGCAGGCATGGCACTTTCTCGACACCAGAGGGAGTACGTTGTGGGTGGTGCCTGAACGCGGTGTATGCCTACGACACTGTCGCAACGCCTAGCAGGTGTGGCATGTTCGACACCATCGGGGGTGCGCACGAGGTGGTCCCTGAGCGTGGCCGCTATCCGTGCCGGTCGTCCAGGGCGTAGCAGGCGTGGCTCTTTCCCGACACCATGGGGGGTGCGCACGGGGTGGTCCCTGAGCGTGGCCGCTATCCGTGCCGGTCGTCCAGGGCGTAGCAGGCGTGGCACTTTCGACATCACCAGGGGTGCGCACGGGGTGGTGCTTGAGCGCGGCCGCTATCCGTGCTGGTCGTCCAGTGCATGGCAGGAGTGGCACTTGCTCGACACCGTAGGGGGTTCGCAGGAGGTGGTCTCTGAGCGCGGCCGCTATCCGTGCCGGTTGTCCAGGGCATAGCAGGAGTGGTACCTTCTCGACACCATAGGGGGTGCGCACGAGGTGGTCCCTGAGCGCGGCCGCTATCCGTGCCGGTCGTCCAGGGCGTAGCAGGCGTGGCTCTTTCCCGACACCGTAGGGGGTTCGCAGGAGGTGGTCTCTGAGCGTGGCCGCTATCCGTGCCGGTCGTGTAGGGCATAGCAGGAGTGGCACTTTCCCGACACCATAGGGCGTGCGTAGGAGGTGGTCTCTGAGCGCGGCCGCTATCCGTGCCAGTCGTCCAGGGCGTAGCAGGAGTGGCACTTTCCCGACACCGTAGGGGGTGCGCAGGAGGTGGTCCCTGAGCGCGGCCGCTATCCGTGCCGGTCGTCCAGGGCGTAGCAGGCGTGGCTTTTGGGGGGTGCGCACGGGGTGGTCCCTGAGCGCGGCCGCTATCCATGCCGGTCGTCCAGGGCATAGCAGGAGTGGCACTTTCTCGACACCATGGGGGATGCGCGCGGGGTGGTCCTTGGGCGCGGCCGCTATCCGTGCTGGTCGTCCAGGGCGTAGCAGGCGTGGCTCTTTCCCGACACCATGGGGGGGGGGTGCGCACGGGGTGGTCCCTGAGCGTGGCCGCTATCCGTGCCGGTCGTCCAGGGCGTAGCAGGCGTGGCACTTTCGACATCGCCGGGGGTGCGCACGGGGTGGTGCTTGAGCGCGGCCGCTATCCGTGCCGGTCGTCCAGTGCATGGCAGGAGTGGCACTTTCTCGACACCGTAGGGGGTTCGCAGGAGGTGGTCTCTGAGCGTGGCCGCTATCCGTGCCGGTTGTCCAGGGCGTAGCAGGAGTGGTACTTTCTCGACACCATAGGGGGTGCGCACGAGGTGGTCCCTGAGCGCGGCCGCTATCCGTGCCAGTCGTCCAGGGCATAGCAGGAGTGGCACGTTCCCGACACCATAGGGGGTGCGCAGGGGGTGTTCCCTGAGCGCGGTCGCTATCCGTGCCGGTCGTCCAGGGCGCTGCTGTCCGTGACGGTTGTCCAGGGCATAGCAGGCATGGCATAGTTTTGACACAATGGGGGGTGCGCACGGGGTGGTGCTTGAGCGCGGCCTCTATCCGTGACGGTGGTGCTCAGGGCACATCGGTACGCAAGTTTGCTATCCGTGCCGGTCGTGCTCAGGGTACAGGGGAACGCTGGCGAGGTGAGTGTTATTCCCCACATGTTTCGTGGGGTTCTGGTTTTCTTCCCTGCCGCGTCGCACCCGCGTCTCCCTTACCTCCCCTGGTCCCTGAGCGCGGCCGCTACTCGTGACGGTCGTCCGTGACGGTCGTCCTTGCCCTAGCAGGCGTGGCATATTCTCGACACCACCAGGGGTGCGCACAGAGTGGTTGCTGACCGCGACCGCTATCCGTGACGGTCGTCCAGGGCACTTCTCACATGCTTCACTTTAGCTATCATCACTCCAGCCATAATATAAGTATGTGGGGTTCCTCGGTAGCGTAATTGGGGGCCTCCTTCGGGGGCGCTTTCGGGAGAGGCTGGGAGATCTGGTCGATGATCCTCAGGACGTGTGTTAGCCCAATGTGTGTTTGCCCTGGTCAGCTCCGCCGCTAGACTAGATCATTACATCGCTTGCGTCTTATTGAGGGGTCTCGATGGACAAACACATGTTGGCGCTAACACAAGTTCCTGGGATCATCGAAAGGGCCCAAGGCAACCTGATGTTTTCGCGGATGTAATGCATCTGAAAATGGACTCTGGTGAGCTCGACGGGTGGGCGCGGTTACGCCTCGCTGGGGCTACTCTCGAACACCGCGTGGGCGAACGATCTATCCGTGTCCGCGGTCTCGCGGGCGGGGCCCCTGGGCTGCGACCCTGTGGATACGGAGCGTTTTTTCGTGGATGCATCGCGCGGAATGTATCCATGCGACCGCGTATCCGCGGGACCGCGCCCCAGAATCCGGACCGCCAGGGCGCGGATACGGATCGCTCGTCTTTGTCGGGCAATTTGGTGGAGCTTCCATGGCAGTGGTCTTGTTATAACCACCCCCTCTCGCTCTCTCCTTCGGTTGCACATCGTGGCAGCTTTTGTATGTTCTCGTATCTCCGTCTTTAGGGTGCGCTTGCGAGCGCCAGCGTCTGGTAATCGACGAGAGAGCGCCGATTTAGTATCGATTAGCGTCGAATTAGTGTCGATGAGCGTCGATTGGCGTCGGGCAGCGTCGATTCGCAGGAGCCAGCAAGATCGTCTTGGAGGCCGCCGTGAGCTGCCACCGACCTCTCTCCCCGCGATCCCCGCCATCTTTCTCTCACGCTGGGGGGCCCCAGGCTGGTCAGACCGGCAGGGGCGCAGCGTGGGAGCGCGCTCGCCGAGCGAAGAAAGAGCTCCCCCCTCCCCCTCCTGTCGCTCCGCACCCACAGCGATCCTGTGTGCACAGACCTGTGCACACGGGGCGCTCCAGAGAGGGCTTTGCCCTCGAGGATCGAAGGGGTTGCCGCCTCTCCCTCGGCGGGAGGCCGGCGGAGGCCAGCGGCAGCGAGACGGGGGCGGCTCCGCGGGCGGAAGCCAGCGGAAGGCCGGCAGAAGCAAGAGGTGCGCCCCCCCCAGGAGGTGGCAACATGTTTGGGCTCAGGGTCTTCCGGAATCCGCCACAGAGCGGCTATGTTATGTGTCCTTGCGCTCCTATGCCGCAGTGGCGGTGTGCTCCCCTCCTCTCTCTTGCTTCCGCCGCCGCCGTGCCATGTCAGGGGCTCTGTCAGTCTGGCTGGCCGTTCGTTCAGCAGGTGCTGCATCAGATTGGTCGCGCCGCGGGCGACCTCCTCCTCGTACCAGCTCAACTTTTGCCATACACCATTGCGTGGTTGCAATAAACGTTTCTGAAGCTTCGACCTCAGAGCTATCATAAAGGCCAGCAGAGATACAGTGTCACTCACAGGCCAGGCGTAAGGTTCAGTAGAACAGATGCAGGCTGGAAGCACACAGAGACTTCAAGCGCCGACTATGTCGGGGAAGGTTCTAGGCCTGTGTTGCCCATCGTGGATGCCATGGACCACAGGCCCCCCCCGAGCAAATAGCGGCCACAGGTGGGATGATCACATTGAGAGGCAAGTGCCCAGAGGCATATCGCGTGACTCCCCCACCTGGTGCGGCCAAGTCCAGGAGCGCTCTGAAAATGATCGAACGGACGGACGCAGGTGCGGCAAAAGTCGCCGCCCTAGCGACTGGACATATTGCAGAAGCGTTCGCAGAGTGACACATCGTGCGCTGCTGTTCTTGCGCAGATGAGTCCCTGAAAGCACAAGCTGCCAAACTGATCTGTCCGATACGGTCAAGTTTGGTCACTGCGACACGGACGGTGCAGTTGGGCCGATCCCAGCGGTAGCGAAGTCGAACAGAACAGCCTCGGGATCTTCCGATGGGAATACAGACCCGAGCCATTTCTCGGCCACCCGAGTCCACTCCCGCACCGCGTGGCGGCCTGGGCCGCAGAGGCGCTCTCCTCCAAGACGGCGGCGCGAGGGTGCGAAGACAGCCGCGCCGCGCGCGAGTCGCCGAAGACGGGTGGCCCAGTCGAGAGTGCCCCGAAGCGGCCGCCCCCGCGCCAGGCTCGCGATTCCGCCCCGTGCTCTCCTCTGCGCCGGGCCCTCACCCGCGGGACGGATGCCTTCCCGCCTCGCTCGCCGCTGCTCCCTGCGGGGCGGGTGCCGCTGAGTTCGGCTACGCGCAAGGAGTAAGGGTGACGCTTCGCCGGAGTGGCCTTCAGTGCGCGGCTTTCGGGCGACAGGGTACCAAGCCCGAACGCGCAGGCCACTGCTGTCGCATCGCATGCGGCGGTTGGCAGGCAGCGTGCCAAAGGTCATCCTTGCCTAGGACCATTCTTGCCGATGGCGATGGCGGCGCATATTATGACGACGTTAACACGGCTCTGATGAATATCGAAGACGCCTACGACGAATCACCGCCGCGCCCTGCCTTTTCGAATCGCCCGTGTGGCCGAGCGTTGTGGCGAAAGCTCTGCCAAGCTATCGGACTATGTACTCCCCCAGCCGTTGTGGAAACCCTTCGGGGAACACTTGGGGGAGGATGGCGGGCAAGATCAGGAAGAGGAGGAGGAGGAGGAGGAGGAGGAGGAGGATGAGGAGGAGGAGGAGGAAGAGGAGGAAGAGGCGGAGGAGGAGGAGGAGGAGGAGGAGGAGGAGGAGGAGGAGGAGGAGGAGGAGGCATCCTGGGAGCCTCTGAGGGCACTCTTGGGGCCTGGCCGTCTTAGGGAAGTCCTGGCCCGTCTTGGGGGCCTGTTTGGGCCGACTTGGGGCCCTCTTGGGGTGCTCCAGGGCCGTCTTGGAGGCCATCTAGGGCAACTTGCAGGCCTCTTGGGCCGTCTTGTGGCCCTCTTGGGGCCGTCTTGGGGACCTCTTGGGGCTATCCTGGAGGCCTCTTGGGTGATCTTGGAGCGATCTTTGGGAGCTCTTGGGTCTCGGGCCGGCGGAAGACCGAAGAGAAGCAGATGCCAAAATCTTTCAAAGACCTACGGGAAATTAAGGATTTGCTTTTCTGGAGGCCTTCTTGGAGGCCTCTTGGGCCATCTTGGAGACCTCGTGGGGGCCTCTTGGGCCGTCTTGGGCCATCTTGGGGCCATCTTGGGCCGTCTTAGTGGCCTGGCCCGTCTAACGCTGTCGGGAGCCGTTCTGAGGGACTCTCTGGGCCGACTTGGGGCCCTCTTGGGGTGCTCCAGGGCCGTCTTGGAGGCCATCTAGGGCGTCTTGCAGGCCTCTTGGGCCGTCTTGGGGGCCTCTTCGGCCGTCCTGGGGTCATCTTGGAGGCCTCTTGGGCGATCTTGGGGCGATCTTTGGTGGCTCTTGGGCCGTCGGAAGGCCGAAAAGAAACAAATGGTAAGATCCGCCAACAACCTGAGGAACGATGATTTTGGCCTCTGGGCCTTCCTGGAGGCCCTCTTGGAGGCATCTTGGGCCGTCTTGGAGACCTCGTGGGGGCCGTTTCTTGGGCCATCTTGGAGCCATCTTCGGGCCATCTTGGGCCGTCTTGGTGGCCTCCTGGCCCGTCTGATGCCCTCGGAAGAGGGCCGTCTTGGAGGCCATCTTGGGTGTCTTGGAGGCCTCTTGGGCCGTCTTGGGGCTCCCTCGGGCCGTCTTGGGGGCCTCTTGTGCCGTTCTGGGTCCATCTTGGAGGCCTCTTGGGCGATCTTGGAGCCATAATTTGGGGGCTCTTGGGCCGTCTCGGGCGTCGCGTCGGAAGGCCGAAGAGAAGCAAATGACAATCTTACAAAAACCTACGGGAAATGAATGGTTGTGGCCTCGTTGGGCCTTCCTGGTCCTGGAGGCCTTCCTGGATGCCCTCTTGAAGATCTTTTGGGCCGTCTTGGAGACCTCTTGGGGGCCGCTTTGGGCCGTCTTGGGCCATCTTGGAGCCGTCTTGGGCCATTTTGGAGCCATACTGGGCCGTCTTGGTGGCCGTCTTGGTGGCCTCCTGGTCCGTCTGACGCCCTCGAAAGCCATCTTGGGGGCCTGTTTGGGCCGACTTGGGGCCATCTCGGGGTGCTCCAGGGCCGTCTTGGAGGCCATCTAGGGCGTCTTGCAGGCCTCCTGGGCCGTCTTGGGGCCCTCGTGGGGCCGTCTTTGGGGCCTCTTGTGCCGTTCTGGGGCCATCTTGGAGGCCTCTTGGGCGATCTTGGAGGGATACTTGGGAGCTCTTGGGCTGTCTTGGGGCGTCGGAAGGCCGAAAAGAAACAAATGCCAAAATCTGTCGAAAACCCACGGAACATCAATGATTTGGGCCTCTTCGGGCCTTCTTGGAGGCTCTCTTGGAGGCCTCTTGGGCCGTCGCGGAGAACTATTGGGAGCCTCTTGGGCCGTCTTGGAGTCATCTTGGAGCCATCTTGGGCCAGCTTAGTGGCCCCCTGGCCCGTCTGACGCCGTCGGAAGCCGTCTTGGCGGCCTCTTTGGGCTGGCTTGGGGCCCTTTTGAGGTGCTCCATGGCCGTCTTGGAGGCCATCTTGGGCGTCTTGGGTTCCTCTTGGACCGTCTTGAAGCCCTTTTGGGGCCATCTTGGAGGCCTTTGGGGCGATCTCGGGGGCCTCTTGGGCCATCGTGGGCTGTCGGATGGCACAAAAAAGCAAATGCCAACATCTGTCAAAAGTCTTAAGAAAACCAATGATTTTCACCTCGTCGGGCCCTCATGGAGGACGTCTTGGGGGCGTCTCGGGAGCCTCTTGGGCTGCCTTGGGCCGTCTTGGAGGCTTCTTGACTTGGAGGCAACTTGGACCATTTGGGACCATCGTGGAGGCCATCGGTCCTCAGGAAGCCAAAAACATAGATGTTCCTTTGGTTTTTCAGCGCTTTTCGGGTTCTCGCATTTTCGGGCCAAGAAGGGCCCAAGACAGCCCAAGAGGCCCCAAAGATCGTCCCAAGACGGCCCCAGAGATCCCCAACAGGGGCCGAAGACCCAGACGGCCCAAGAGGGCCCCAAAGCGGCCCAAGAGGGTCCCAAGACGGCCCCAAGATAGCCCCAAGATGGCCCCAACAGGCTGCCAATAGGGCCCGAAGGAGCGGTGTGGGGACTGGGCTGCTTAGGTGTGTTGACTGGGCTGGCCCCAAGGTGGTCCAAGCGTGCCAAAACGGCCCTCAAGAGGGCCCCCCAAAGACCCCCAAGAAGCCCAGAGGCGCCAAGTAACACCATGGCTCCCAACAGCGAGCGGTGACGTAACAAGCTCTGACGCGGTGACGTAAAAAGCTCTTATCAGCAAGGCACCCAAGGGCGAGCGGCAACGTAAAAGTCTGTGAACACCAGGGCTCCCAACAGAGAGCGGTGATGCAACAAGCTCTTAACGCCAAGGCTCCCAAGAGCGCAAGGTGCCATGAGCCATCTCGGGCAAGTTCCTGCACCGCTCTTTCCGTTCCCGTGCCGGCCCAGGTCTGATGGCTTTCGGCCCATCCCGCCACCGTGCCTGAGCTGTGGGTATGAAATGACGCCTATTCGATGTTCGTTGTGGGAGGCTTCTCGGGGGTCTCTTGGAGGCAGTTTTGAGGCCTCATGGGTTTTTTTTGGGCGCCTCTTGGGGCCACTTTTGGGCCTCTTATGGGCCTCTTGGAGGTCTCTGGGGGCCTCCTGGGGGCCTCCTGCGGAGGGCTCGGCTTTTCGGTTCGTGTTCCCCTCTTGGGCTCCTTTTGGGGCCGTCTTGGGGCCCTCTTGGGCCGTCTTGGGCGCCTCTTGGGCCGTCGTTGATCGCTTTGTTGCCCTCTTGGAGGCCTCTTTGGCCGTCTTGGGGCGATCTTGGGGGCCACTTGGGCCGTCTTGGAGCGTCGGAAAGCAGAAAAGGCGAGAAAGCCAATAACTTTCAAAAACCGGAGGAAACTCAATGGATTTGCCTCTTGGGGCCCTCTTGGCCTCTTGGATGCCTCCTGGGGCGTCTTGGAGGCCTCTTAGGGTCCCTCTTGGAAGGCCTCTTGGAGGCCTCTTGGAGTTTCTTGGGGGCCATCTTGAGCGTCTTGGAGCGATCGTTCGGCGACTCGGGGCGTTCTTGGACTGTCTTCGGGGCATCTTGGAGCCCTCATGGCCCGTCTTGGGGCCCTTTTGGGCCCGAAGAATTCATGCGACAAGATGCGCCGAAGCCCCGCCAAATTTTAGAATATTGGGTCTGGGAGGTTTCAGGGATGAGGCAAAGGACCTGAGGACACGCCCACACCGTGCCCAGAGGCACGGTGGCGGATGATGCTGATGAGTAAGATGATTATGAGAGAGCATTTGATTATGCTGATGGGGGTACGTATAAGGATGGGGACGGGGATGGGGATGGGGATGTGAATGATGATGATGATGATGATGATGATGATGATGATGATGATGATGATGATGATGATGATGATGATGGTGGTGGTGGTGGTGGTGATGATGATGATGATGCTGGTGATGCTGCTGATGATGACGATGGCGATGATGGTGGTGATGATGGTGATGATGATGGCGATGATGATGCGGCTGCTGCTGCTAATGATGATGATGATGATGATGATGATGCTGATGATGATGATGATGCTGATGATGCTGATGATGATGCTGCTGATGGTGGTGGTGGTGGTGCTGATGATGATGGTGCTGCTGCTGATGATGATGATGATGATTGCGATGCTGCTGCTGCTGATGATGTTGACATTCGTGATGATGATACTGATGATTACTTTGATGCAACAGGTGATGATGCTGATGATGATGATGCTGCTGATGATGCTGATGCTGATGCTGCTGATGATGATGCTTATGATGATGACGATATTGAGGATGACGATGCTGATGCTGCTGATGATGATGATGCTGATGATGTTGGAGATGATGGTGGTGGTGATGCTGATGATGATGATGCTAATGATGATGATGCTGTTGCTGATGCTGCTACTGATGATGATGATGCTGGTGACGCTGATCACGATGATGACGTCGACGACAACGACGACGACGATGATGATGCTGATTATGATGATGGTGGTGATGGTGGTGATGCTGATGATGTTAATGATACTGATAATGATGATGCTGCTGATGATGATAATGATGATGATGCAGATGCTGATGCCGATGCTGATGCTGATGATTCTGATGATGCTGATGAGGATGCTGATGATGATGACGATGATGATGATGATGATGATGATGATGATGATGATGATCATGATGAGGATGATGATGATGATGAGGATGATGATGATGATGATGATGATGATGAGGATGATGATGATGATGATGATGATGATGGTGATGACGACGATGATGATGATGATGATGATGCTGATGATGATGATGATGAGGATGATGATGACGATGCTGATGATGATGCTGATGATGCTGATGATGATGATGATGATGATGATGATGATGATGATGATGATGATGATGATGCTGATGACGATGACGGTGACGTGAGGAGGAGGAGCAGGAGGGGAAGGAGGAAGAGAAGGAGGAGGAATGGGGGCTGCCAGCTCCAGTGATCAAAACCGTTCCAGGGCGCCGACAGGGAGCGGACTCGCCCGCCCGAGGAGCGCCGAGGAGCGGAGACGAGGAGCGGAGCCGATAGCACGACCACCCTGAGGACCAAGGCGGGACGCCCCGCGCGGGGGCAGTCTCGGCACGCAGTCCGCGTCAAGGTCACGCCGATGTCGGCGTCGTTGTCGCAGGTCGTGTGGTGCTGGTCGTCGTCGTTCTCGTCGTCGTCGTCGTCGTAGGGTGAAGGGGACGTGATCACGTTGATGATGACGGCGAGTTGGATGATGATGATGATGATGATGATGATGATGATGATGATGATGATGATGATGATGATGATGATGATGATGAGAATGATGATGATGATGATGATGATGATGATGATGATGATGATGATGGGGTTGATGACGATGATGATTAGGAGGAGGAGGAGGAGGAGGAGGAGGAGGAGGAGGAGGAGGGGGAGGGAACGGAGGATGATGATGGTGATGATGATGATGACGACGTTGATGATGATGCTGATGCTGATGATGTTGCCGATGATGATGCTGCTGCTGATGATGCTTATGATGCTGACGTTGGTAATGATGGTGCTGATGATGATGCTTATGGTCATGATGATGGTCATGCTGAAGCTGCTGATTCTGATGATGATGATGATACTGATGACGTTGATGATGATGTTGACGACGGTGATGATAACGATGGTGACTATCATAATGGCGATGATGAGTATGAAGATGATGCTGATGCTGATGATGCTGATGCTGATGATGACGATGATGGTGATGATGCTAATGATGATGATGATGATGCTAATGGTGATGATGATGATGATGAGGATGATGATGATGATGATGATGATACTGATTATGATGATGATGCTGATTATGATGATGGTTGTGGTGATGGTTGCGGTGATGATGCTGATGCTGATGCTGATGCTGATGCGGATGCGGATGCGGATGCTGATGATTTCGATGATGGCGATGATGGTTTTGATACTGCAGATGATGATGTTGACGTTGATGGTGCTTGTGATGATGGCGATGATGATCATGCTGCTGAGGCTGATGAAAATGATCATAAGACGATGATGATGGATGATTGTGATGATGATGATGATGATGATGATGATGATGATGATGATGATGATGATGATGATGATGATGATGATGATGATGATGATGATAGTGATGGCGATGATGCTGCTGATGATGGTGGTGGTGCTGCTGGTGATGCTGATGCTGATGATGATGCTGATGTGCTGATGAATATGAGGCTGCTGCTGATAATGATGATTATCATGATGATGATGATGATGATGATGCTGATGATGATGATGATGCTGATGATGATGATGATGACGATAATGATGATTCTTATGATGACGATGATACTGCTGCTGATGATGATGGTGGTGATGGTGGTGGTGATGATGTTGAGGCTGATGAGGATGAGGATGATGCTGCTGCTGCTGATGATGATGATGATGATGGTGGTGGTGGTGGTGGTGGTGGTGGTGATGGTTATGATGGTGGTGGTGGTGATGATGCTGCTGATGATGATGCTGATGATGCTGATGATGATGTTGGTGGTGATTGTGGTGGTGGTAATGATGATGCTGCTGATGATGATTCTGATGATGATACTGATGGTTTCCATTATGATGATTCGGATGATTCTGAAGACTCTGATACTGACGCTGCTGCTGATGCTGATGATGATGTTGCAGCAGCGTCCAGGATGCCAGGAGCAACGCTCGCTGCCCTGGATTGCCGACGACGGGCCCGCTCGCCCGCCCTCAAAAGGGCCGCCCGCCCCGCCCGGCTGGGCCTGCCGAGCCCCTCTGCCCCGCGGAGCCGAGCCGGGCCCTCGGCCCGCGGAGGCCGCGCATCGGTGCGCCGCTTCGCGCCCGGGGTCGACGCCACCCCGAGGCGCACCCGAGGCCCTTCGGACAGCTGGCGACACCTCCCTCTCGTCTTTGAAGGGCCTGGTTGTCCAGGCAGGCCTTTCCCTGTTGCGTCAGGCGGACTTCGATGGCTGTGGTCGTAGCGCTCCGAGCTCCTCGTCACAGGTCACGAAACATGCATTATCATTGCGGCAAGTGGCCCATTAGAAGACAACCGTTTGAGAATCCTTGATCGTCCCAGAACAAATCTCTTGGGATCTTCACGCAGCGGATCAACGCGACTGTTGCGTCCTGATGCTTTTAATCTTGCCAGAACACCGTTCCTGGGACTTTGACACCGCGAGTTAACATGACTGTTGTATCCTGACAATCCCAAATCGTGCCAGAACTCAACTCCTGGGACTTCGGTCGTACGAATGTGTGAAGCGGTTGCAAACTTTTGAAACGAAAGAGCGCGGCGCAAGCGAGAACCACATTTTGAAAAGGAACCGTCGTCCATCCGTGAAACATGAGGCGAATGTGCTCGGCGCTAAGGCGAGGACCTCATTTTGAAAACCACCCGCCCTCCAGCCATGAGGCTGCTGCAAGCTTTTAAAACGAGTGTGCGCGGCGCTGCAGCAGGAATCGCATGCTGAAGACCGCCCACCCTCCATCTGTGACAACGTTGCGATTTTCTTAGACGAGTGTGCGCAGCGCTGGGGGGATAGCAACCGATTGAGAACCACCCGCCCTCCATCCGTGAAGCTGCTGCAAGCTTGGAAGCCGAATGCGTGCGGCGCTCAGGCGAGACCCACGTTTGAAGCTTCTGCAAGGCTTCAGTTCAGGACCACCAGTGGCGAGGAGGAGGAGGAGGACGAGCCAGCGCGCGAGCGAGCAAGCGAGGAGGAGGAGGAGGAGGAGGAGCAGGAGGAGGAGGAGGAGAGGAGGAGGAAGGAGGAGGAGGGAGGAGGAGGAGGCAGAGGAGGAGGAGGAGGAGGAGGAGGAGGAGGAGGAGGAGGAGGAGGAGGAGGAGGAGGAGGAGGAGGAGGAGGAGGAGGAGGAGGAGGAGGAGGAGGAGGAAGGTAGGAGGAGGAGGAGGAGGAGGAGGAGTAGGAGGATGCCCAGAGGGGGGTCGATGCTGGCGAGCCGTTGGCGCGCCCCCGTGCGCCGCCGCCCCCCTGCCGCCAGCACGGCCATGGCGCCGGCCTGGGGTGCCGCCCGCCTCGCCCGGCTGCTCCGCTCGCGGGCCCCGCGCGCGGGCGCCAGCGCCCGGGGCGGCCGAGGGCCGCGGGGGCGGCCGAGAGCCCTGCCTCGTCGCCCTCCTCGGCCTCGTCGCTGCTCCTCGGCCTCATCGCTCCTCGTGCCTCGCTCCGCGCTCCTCGCTCCTCGCTCCTCCCTCGTCGTCGTCGTCCTCCTCCTCGGCCTCCTCACGCCTCGCTCCTCGTGCTGCTCCTCCGCGTCCTCCTCCCTCCTCCTCGCGGTCCTCTTCCTCTTCCTCCTCCTCCTCCTCCTCGGCCTCCTGTTTTCGCTGCGCGGACTTGAGCAACAGCCAGAGCGTCAACCTCGGCCTCCCTCCTCCTCTCTTCCTCCTCCTCCTCCTCCTCCTCCTCCTCCTCCTCCTCCTCGTCCTTGTCCTCGTCCTCGTCCTCGTCCTCCTTCCTCGTCCTCCTTCCTCGTCCCTCCTCGTCCCTCCTCTTCCTCCTCCTCCGCCCCCCGTCTCAGCGCCTCCAGCATTCGGCGTACGAGCTGCCAGCCGTTCTTGTGGACGCAGGGCGGTTCCTTCCAGAACGGGGCTCCCGCCCGAGACTTCCTCGGGCGCTGTGGCCAGAAGTGTGAGACTGTGAAGCAGCTGCGCGGCCGGGCGGACGGCGGAGGAGCGGCTCCTCCTTCAGAGTGGGGCTACTATCGGCCGAGACCTCCTCACACCTCTCAGCCACGAGACCGGGAACTCCGGCCCAGCGCGTCGCGCCGCGGGCTCTGGCCCACCGCGCCTCGGCGCGACGCGCTCCCCACGTCCCGAGTCCACAGGAGTCAGCGCCTCGAGTTTTCCCCAGCCTCTCGTCCCGCGGAGCGGCGCGACGCGCCATCCGCTCGCAGGGGCACAGCGTGCCGCCAGGGCCGCCGCCGCGACAGGCCGAGCAACAGCTCTTGACCGTATCGCCGGAGTGCCTCCGCCGAGATTTGGGTCCTCCGCCGCCGGCTCGCCTGCTGCACGCTATGCCCCCCACCTTGGGGACAGCGTGCACCGAAGAGGCCCTTGCAGGGGAGCAGCGTGCGCAGGAGGTGCCCTCGCTGGGGGATCGCCTCGCCGGGGTAGTGTGCTTTTTGGAGCTCGATGCCGCACGCCATCTTGCCAACGCCAAGCGTATCGCCAGAGGACTGTGTCCTCCACCCTCGGGGAAGAAGTGCCCGAGCTGCTCCGGGCGCCCGATGGCATCCTCCCTCCTCCTCCCTCTCCTCCTCCCTCCCTCTCCTCCTCCCTCCTCTCTCCTCCTTCATCTCCTCCTCCCTCCCCCTCCTCTTCCGCCTCCTCTTCCTCCTCCTCCTCCTCCTTCCACCGCTTCCCTCTTCCCTCCTCCTCCCTTCCGTAGCCATTTTGGCTCAAACCATTTTGGCTCAAGCCGCCGTCCTGGCTGCGAAGTCCTTTTCAGCACACTCGGTGCTGCTGCAGGACCCCGTCCATCGGGACAGCTGCCATGCGCGCCGGCCGCCGCTTTCGCTCCTGGCATGCTCCGGCTGGCCGCGCTCACGAGGCAGATCCGGGACCCTCCCCGAGGCTCACACGCGCTGTTTTTCGGCGACTGGGCTATTGTGCGCGCGTGGGCCGTGCGCCTTGGATCAAGGACGTCGCGTACTTGGCCAAGCACTGATTGCACTCGGACGCCGACATCACATTGGCTTCTGTCAATGCCCCAGCGGTTCCGCCTGGCATCTGGCGGCCATCAGATTTCCCGCCCGAAGCCCCTGCGATGCAGTTGTACACGCTGCTCACGGCACTCGGCGTCGTTGCGCCCGCTGTCGAAGCGGTTGTGCCCAAGGGGATGAACAAGCACGCAGGCCCTCCAGAAGCTGCTGGCAGCTTGTCTGGTGGAGCGGAGGTGGGCATGCGCCCTGCCGCAGCAGTCCCCACCTCGCCCGACATGCCGCAGCCGCCGCCGACAATTTCGTCACGATCTGGAGAGCGCCACAGGACCTGCCAGCGAAGGATGTCGGACATTCTCTCGCAGTGCGACCCCGACTCTTTGTTCAGGATCGATTCCAGGCTGACCAAGTACAAGGGCTCGGAGGACATACTCTATGTCAAGGTGTGCAAGAAGTACGGTGTCCAGCCGTCTCCTCTCTATGAGGGTCGCCCTTCTGATTAGATCTGTCTTGCCCTTTGTTCCGAGTGTAGCTGAATGGCGTGTAGCGTTTGTGCAGGCTCTCTCGTCGTGAGGCTCCCCCATTCGCTCGCCCCGTGGGCTCTTTTTGCTTGTGCGCCCGACCCGGCACCTCTTTTTTTTTTTTTTCTCTCCTTTGGGGGCTACGTAAGCCGGTGGTGGCGTAAGTGGTGGATCTTCGTGAGGTCTTATGCGCCACCCACCGGCTAGCCACATTGTTCGAGCACGCAACCTTGCGAAACCGCGCGTCGCATCAACAACCTCCTCCCTTTTGCGGGATGTCCTGTATATGTTGTGAAGCCTCGGCCACTGCCTCAGGCCCCGCGGCCGTGGCAGCGCCATATCGCACCGGCACCGGCCGATCGTCTTCGGAGCTCTGACGCTCGTGCTGCAGCTGGCCTCTTTGTACCACGGCCTGGAGGTGACCTACAGCGTGGAGGGCCTGTCTCTGGCCATGTCCGCCGTGGTCGCGATGGAGACCGAGAAGGAGGGATCGTGGCGCCCAACTGGCTCATCGGCGACGTCAAGAGGTGGTGGGAGCAGCTCCACAGGCGACGCAGTGGACAGCCGCAAGTCCCAGAAGAGCGACTCGGGCCAGAGAGTAGCACGGAGACCTGCAGGCGCAGAAGGCTCGGCGGGCAAGCCGAGGATCAGGCGTGGCGGCAGGCGCCGCGCGGAGGCGAAGGAACGCAAGCTGACGACGAATGACAATGACCTCAAGGAGCTCCTCCTCTTGCTCTCGACGCAGGTGGCCCAGCTCACTCAGCGGTCAAGGACGCTCTGGGGGACGGCTGCGAGGACGGTGCTGCTCGAGGAGAACCCCCGTCATCAAAGCTGTGCAGGCGGAGTTGCAGGATTTCTCGGTGAAGGCCACCAACATGAGGGTGGATATCAGCAAGCTGAAGGAGCAGGCCAAGGCAGAGAAGGACAGCGACGCCGCAGCTTCGCGGCAGCACGACCTCGACGCCGAGAAGATGATGACCAACTTGCGGGAACTCGGCCCACCAGCTCCCGCAGTCTTCTGCGCGATGATCGAGGCGCTGTCGGCGGAGGAGTTGGGCAGGAGGAGTCGCGAGAGCCTGCAGGCGCTGCTGGCGGCGATGGAGGACGAGCCGCCAGACTGTGTACTGCTGTTCCGCCTGGAAGGATGCAAGCAACATGACTAAAGCTGATGTTCGCGCTGGGCAAGAAGGACACCGAGCTGCTCCTCGACTGCTTCCGCAGCATGGGGGCGACAATGACCGTGGGGGTTGCGCCGGGCGGATACTTGGAGGACGAGGGCTCGGCCCGGATCGACGTCCTCAAGGATGAAGCCAACGTGAGGTGATGATGTGGAGTAGTGAAGGAAGGATGGGTGAGCTCGGAGCGTGGGCACCGCGCTGTAGCCATTGAGCTATGGCAGTGCGGCCTCGTGCACCTGGTCAAAGAGCCGCATTCGGGTGCGGACGGTGGACGCGGTATCAACTTTCGACCTCGCTCCTCTTCGCCTCCCTTTCGCCCTCGCCGGTCGTGGCCCTCGGCCTTCGGCTCCGTCTCCCGTCCTGCTCGGCCCCGTCTCGCTCGGCCCCCTCGGCCCGTTCGGTGCCTTGACGACCCGTGCCCCGAGCGCAGCCGTAGCTAGAATATGTTATCCTCTGAGAGCGGTTGTAGTAACTCGAGTCATCGTCCCGCAGCCGAGAGCAGGCAAGCAATCAATCTCCTCCGTCTCCTGCGTCCTCCTTCCTCGTCCTCCTCCCCCCTCCCTCCTCCCTGCTCCCTCCTCCCCCCTCCCTCCTCCCTCCTCCATCTCTTCCCTCTCCTCCTCCCTCCTCCTCCTCCTCCTCCTCCTCCTCCTCCTCCTCCTCCTCTTCCTCCTCCTCCTCTCCTCCTCCTCCTCCTCCTCCTCCTCCCTCCTCCCCTCCTCCTCCCTCCTCCTCCCCCTCCCCCTCCTCCCCCCTCCTCCCTCCTCCCGCCTTCACCCTCGCGGAAGCAGTCCCCGTGCTGCCCCGAGCGCCCGGCGCTCCTGGGCCGCCCCGGGCCGAGACGCTTCGCCTCCGCGGCCCCCGCGGCGCCGGACGGGGCGGCCGCGGGCTCGGGGGCGGGCCGCGCGCGCCCCCCTTGCACCTTCGGAGGCCTCTCGGAGGCGCCCTCTCTGAGGCGCCCTCTCTGAAGCGCCCTCTCGGAGGCTTCCTGGGGGCCTCTCGGAGGCCCTTCGGGAGGCTTCTCTCTGGGACCGTCTTTCTCTTGTGGCGATAACGGGCGTGACAAGTGGGGGGGGAGGGGGGGTGGACGCCCTTCGGAGTTGGAGGCGCCTGTCGGAGTTTGGAGCCAGCTGGGTGTCTGAGGTGGCCCAGCACCGGTCCAAGCAGCTAGAAGGGGTGGGGGATGTTTGAGGTTCTGGGCTCGAGGAGTTTTTTTTCGGTCTCCAGGGGCTGTTTTCGGTCCCTGGGCCGTCAGATACGGGATCCAAGACGGTCAAAAACGGATCGGGGATGGAAGAATTGCACCAGATGGACCCTGGGAGTGGTCTGCGGACCGATCTGGAGCGGATTTGCCCTCATCCCCTCTTCTTGACCGATTTTCTCGGGGCCTATCCAGTCCAGACCCCCGTCGCATCCGATTCCAGAGGCTTCTCGGAGGCCCTTCGGGAGGCTTCTCGACGGACGAGTCGGAGGGAATATACCGATGCCGCTGCTCATCGTGGAGAGCTCTCGACGTCACGGCTGGACTCCGCCGTCACTCTCTTTTTCTTAGAGTCAAGGGGTTCTGGAACCCGCCATCTGTCTGAACAGAGGCTGTGCACAAGCTGGCTCGTGGCCTGCGCGAGGCCAGAACGTCTGCACTGGGCGCACGTGGATGCCATGAAGGCCTCTCGCCAGACACTCGTAAAATGCACCTGTCTTGGTGGCCATGCGGGCGCCTGATTTGAACCGTCGGCTGGGCTCTCCTCCCAGCGGGGCCGCTGTCCAAAATTCTGCTCGCACGAACCTGGGCCGTCGGCGCGGCGGGCGCGGCCTCCCCCTGCCCCGAGACGAATGGCCCGAGAGGAGGAATGCGAGGACGAGGACGAGGAGGAGGAGGAGGAGGAGGAGGAGGAGGAGGAGGACGAGGTGAGGGGGAGGCAGGGCAGAGGGATGAACGGGTGGTGATGGAGGGTTGGGGAACAGAGGAGCAAAGGGGGGAGGACAGGGATGAGGGAAGGAAGGATGGAGGGAGGGAGGGAATGTAGGAAATGAAGGAGGACAGGGATGCGGGAAGGAAGGACAGGGATGGGAGGGGAGAACAGGGATGAGGGAAGGAATGAGGGAGGGAGGGCATGACAGGGATGAGGGAAGCAAGGAAGGATGATGAGGGATGAGGGGATGAGGGAGGGAGGCAGGGAATGTAGGAAATAACGAATGACGGAGTGATATAATGAATCAAAACATGGAGAGGAGACAATAGTGATAGCGGTCATGATGTGGAGAGGAGGGAGGAGCTAGGATTTTGGGAAGGCAGATGAGCCAATGGGGGAGGGGGGTGATGATAATGATGATGATGATGCTGATGCTGATACTTATGCTGATGATAATGGTGATGATGCTGATGATGATTACTATGCTGATGATGCTGCTGCTGATGCTGCTGCTGATGATAACAATGATGATGATGCTAATGCTGATGCTGGTAATGATGATGGTGGTGGTGATGATGACGAGGAAGATTATGATGATGCTGATTATGATGATGTTGATGCTGGGTGATGCTGGTGCTGATGATGATGCTGCTGCTGAAGATGTCAATGATGATGCTGATGATGCTGATGATGATGGTGGTGATAACGATGAGGATGATGGTGATGATGCTGATGTTGGATAATGCTGATGATGCTGATGCTGCTGATGATGATACTGACGGTGATGATGATGCTGATGATGGTGATGATGATGATGGTGATGTTGATGATGATGAGGATGATGATGATGATGATGCTGTTGGTGCTGAAGATGATGAGGATGATGATGCTGATGATGATACTGATGATGCTGATGATGGTGCTGAATACGATGCTGCTGATGATGATGAGGATTACGAGGAGGAGGAGGATGCGGATGAGGATGAGGATGAGGATCGTAATGATGCTGATGCTGATGCTGATGCTGATAATGATGATGATGATGATGATGCTGCTGCTGATGCTTCTGATGCTGCTGATGATGATGCTGCAGATGATGATGAATATGATGATGATGACTGTGATGGTGATGGTGATGGTGATGATGCTGCTGCTGAAGATGATGATGATGATGATGATGATGATGATGATGATGATGGTGATGGTGATGATGATGACGATGATGATGATGATGATGATGATGATGATGATGTTGGTGTTGGTGTTGATGATGATGATGAAGAGGAGGAGGAGGAGGAGCGCTTGACGTTCCCGAAGCCAACAACAGCAACAGGAGGGGGATGATGATGCTGCTGATGATGCTGATGATGATGATAATGATAATGATAATGATAATGATAATGATAATGATCATGGTGATGATGATGATGATGATGATGATGATGATGATGATGATGATGATGATGATGATGATGATGATGATGATGATGATGATGATGATGCTGTGATGATGATGATGATGATGATGATGATGATGATGATGGTGATGGTGATGGTGATGGTGATGGTGATGGTGATGATGATGATGATGCTGATGCTGATGATGATTCTGAGAATGATGCTGATGATGATGACGATGATGATGAGGATGAGGAGGAGGAGGAAGAGGAGGTGGAGGAGGAATGGGGAGAATGGGGGAATGCAGGGAAGGATGAAGAACGCTTGGCGGCTGCGTGTGAGGTCGTGGGCACGTACTCCCGCCAGGCGGACCTGGCCAAGAGCTACCTGAAGGAGTACGAGGCCGCGAGGATCAGCGGCAACGCGCACGAGGCCCTGAGGATGCCGGGGCGCCTCTGGCCACGCACTGGTACCGATCTTGCACGTGCCGTTCCTGGGCCCAGGCTCAGTGCACAAGCCCTCCAGCCCAGCCGTCTGCGACCACCCGCGAATCATCCCTGAGATCCTGGCGGCGTCATTTTCTCGCACCGGGCGATTTAGCCCTCCTCTGGGCCCCGGGACACTCGCGGATCGATCCGGCTCGAAAATCTCAGCTGATTGGGTCTAGTGTTTTGGTCGTGATTTCTGTGATGTTGCAGTTTTTTCGCGGATCTCAGGGTCTGCGACCACCTGGAACCCTCCATGGGTCGGATCGACGCTGGGGTGTTGGGTCTCTGCCCTCTGGGGCTCACGAAGCTGCAGATGCCCTCCGCATTCAGAAGCGCAGTCAGTTTGCCAGGAATCAGACGGGTAGGCGTGGGGCTCACATGTGGCTGCCCATGCCTGGGGAGGCAGCATACGCTGCCGGCTCTTCAGGCATGTGGCCTGCAGAGGTAGGGCTCACATGTGGCTGCCCCTGCCCGGGTGGCGCACACGCCGGGCCCGGGCCCAGGGAGCGGCCCGGCCAGGACCGGTGTCGGTGTGCAGCCAGCGCCCTCCGCCAAGGATGCTCAAGAAGGCCTCCGCCGCGGCGCAGGGCGTGCACGTGAGGCTGCCGCTGGGCCACGGGCAGAAGGACCTGAGGGTGCCCTGCCTACGGCTAGTGGCGCCAGCCTCCCCCCCCCTCTCCCCCGTCGCCTCTCGGGGGGCAACGCTGGCAGTGGGCGATCGGCTCAGGGGGGCACGCATCGACCCCCAGTCGCCCATCGATCGCCGATAGGGGCCTGATTGGCCCACCCCGCCCAGGAGCTTGCGCATTCGCTATCGGGGGCCTATCGCCGATCTATCGGCGACGTGTCGCCGAGTCAAAAGCTCGATGTCCCCCCCCCCCCCCGAGCCAGTCCCCCCTAGACCCTGAACGTTGCCCCTTCTCCCCGCCCGCACTTCTCTGGTGACACCCAGGGTGGGGGTCCCTGGCCCCAGGTGTCCCCAGGGTTCCTGAGGAGGCCGAGGTGGCCTTCCAAGCACTCCTCGCGAGGCCCAGAAGTGGGCCCGAGGGGCTACCAAACGGCCGCTGGTCGATGCCCACCACGTTTGGGGGCGCCGGGGTCTGCGTGTTGAGGGAACGCGCCGACCTCGGCTGGATGTGGGGCCCCCGACCGCCCGGTGCAGCCCGCCCTCGCCCCTCTCAGCGCCGCCGACGTCCACCGCCCACTCCAGCACGCGCGCCTGCGTGTACTTGTCTGGGCCTCTTCTGCACCGCCAGGGCTTCTCCCAATTGTCTCGTGGGGCGCCCTGCCCCTCAGAGGGGGGGCGAGACCACCACGCCGCCCCCCCTCCAAACTCCCCGGCGGCGGCGCCCAGGAAAGAAAATTCGTCCGAGTGGCCGCTGGTGCGGGCCTGCAGGGGTGCGCCCGGCAGTGGCCTGCGCGCTTGGATCTGGCCTCCCCCCCTGCGGCCCCCCAAAGCCGCGCACCAGGGGCCACTCTTGGATAATTCATACTTCTGGACGCTTCGCGTGGCCATTTTCTGGCTCAAGCCGTTCTGGCTCGAGGAGTTTTTGAAACCAGGCTGCCTGTCACCTCCCCTGGCTTTTTCCCATCCCCGCGCAGCGATGAAGGGCGCCGCGATCACCTCCGCCGCCGCGGCCTTCGGCCTCGGCGCCGCGACCACCGCCTTCCTGAGCCCCGCCCTGGGCGCCGGCCGCACGCCGGCGCCCCCGGCGCAGGCGGGCGCCGCGCCCGCGGAGCTCCGCGGCTCCGCGGCCTCGGAGCCCGCGCGCGGCGCTGCGGCAGCCGGCCTCGCCGCGGCCGGCTGCGTCGCCGCCCTGGCCGGCCTCGCATCGCGGCCGTCGCTCTCCGCGCCGAAGAAGCCGTCGAGGCCCCGCCAGGTGGCTGTGGCCGCTTTCGAGAGCGAGACGGGCGTCCAGGCCCCCGTCGGCTACTGGGACCCGCTGGGGCTCAGCGCGGACGGGGACGTGGCGACCTTCAAGCGTCGCCGGGAGACCGAGCTGAAGCACGGCCGCGTGGCAATGTACGCCACGATGGGCTACATCACGCCAGAGTTCTACAAGTGGCCAGGCTACCTGAGCCCTTCTTCTGGGCTCAAGTTCGCGGACGTGCCGAACGGGCTGGCCGCCTGCAGCAAAGTGCCCGCTGTGGGCTGGCTCCAGATCATCCTCTTCGCCGGCGCCTTCGAAGCGGGCTTCGGCTACGACGCCTACACTCGTGGTGGCGAGCCCGGCAATTACGGCTGGAAGGCGCTCACGTCGGATGACCCCGCAGTCCTGAAGAGGAAGCTGAATTCCGAGCTGGCGAACGGGCGCCTGGCCATGATGGCCATCATCGGCATGTTCTATCAGGACGGCCTCACAGGCTCCGCGTGGGGCGACTGGGCAAACTACGCCGATTCGCCGCTGCGCGCCTTCGAGAGCGAGCTGGGGGTGCAGGCGCCCGTCGGCTTCTGGGACCCCGCCGGCCTCAGCAAGGACGGCGACGCGGCGGCGTTCAAGCGACGCCGCTCCACCGAGATCAAGCATGGCCGGGTATCCATGCTGGCGACGATGGGTTACATCACCCCGGAGGTGGCCGGCAAGTTCCCGGGCTACCTTAGCCCTTCCAAGGGTCTCGCTTTCGAGGACATCCCCAACGGATTGGCTGCCATCTCCAAGGTGCCCTTCGTGGGATGGCTCCAGATCGTCATCTACTGCTTGTACGTTGAGGCGTCTGGACTTGGCTTCAATTACATCGGCACGGAGGCGACCCCGGGCGACGTGGGCTGGAAGCCGCCGCTGCTTTCTGGCTTCGATGGCGAGGCGAGAACAAAGAAGCTGAACGCGGAGATCGCCAATGGCAGGCTGGCAATGATGGCGATCATCGGGATGTTCTTTCAGGATGGTTTGACCGGCAGCGCGTGGGGTGATTGGGCCCTCTACACGGACTCGCCGCTCCGTGCGTTCGAGAGCGAGTTGGGCGTGCAGGCGCCGCTGGGCTTCTGGGACCCGCTGGGGCTCTCAGCCGATGGCGATGTGACGTCCTTCAAGCGCCGCCGATCTGTAGAGATCAAGCACGGCAGGATCTGCATGATGGCGACCATGGGCTACATTACGCCGGAGGTCGCTGGAAAGTGGCCTGGTTTCATCAGCAAGTCCGAAGGATTGAAGTTCGCCGACATCCCGAACGGGTTGGCGGCCATCTCCAAGGTGCCAGGATTGGGCTGGCTGCAGATCGCGTCTTGGTTTGCATTCTGTGAGATCCAGCAGGGCTACGACGCAGACGCCAAGGCCGAGCCAGGCAATGTCGGGTGGAAGCCGCCTCTGCTTGTTTCCGCCGACCCTGAGACACGAAAGCGCAGGCTGAACGCTGAGATCGCAAACGGCCGGCTTGCCATGATGGCCATCATCGGCATGTTCTTCCAAGACGGTCTTACTGGGTCTGCCTGGGGTGACTGGGCCAACTACACGGACTCGCCGCTCCGTGCGTTCGAGAGCGAGCTCGGTGTGCAACCGCCAGTGGGCTTCTGGGACCCGGTCGGCTTCACCAAGGATGGCGATGTTGCTGCCTTCAAGCGCAGGCGGGAGACCGAGATCAAGCATGGGCGGGTCTCCATGCTGGCGACGATGGGTTACATCACCCCCGAGGTGGTCGGCAAGTTTCCGGGTGAGCTCTCTCCCAGTCTCGGAGTCAAATACGCAGATATCCCGAACGGCCTTGCCGCCCTTTCTAAGGTGCCAGGCCCTGGTTGGCTGCAGATCGTGGCCTATTGCCTCTACTGCGAGTCTGGGCCGTTCGGTTACAACGCTGACCCCAACCGGAAGCCCGGAGAGCTCGGCTGGAGGCCGATCGGCTTGTACAGCGCTGACCCCCAGGTGAGGCAGCGCAGGCTGGCTGCTGAGATCGCAAACGGCCGGCTTGCCATGATGGCCATCATCGGCATGTTCTTCCAGGACGGCCTCACCGGATCCGCCTGGGGCGACTGGGCCCTCTACACGGCCTCGCCGCTGCGCGCCTTCGAGAGCGAGCTGGGCGTGCAGGCGCCGACCGGCTTCTGGGACCCCCTGGGCTACACGAACGATGGCAGCGTGGAGAACTTCCAGCGCCGCCGCTCCACAGAGATCAAGCACGGGCGCGTGGCCATGTACGCGACCATGGGCTACATCTTCCCAGAGTACGTCAGGTTCCCCGGCCTGCTGAGCCCCTCGGCCGGCCTGAAGTTCGCCGACGTGCCCAACGGCCTCGCCGCGCTCTCCAAGGTGCCAGCGGCCGGCTGGTTGCAGATCTTCCTCTTCATCGGCACCTACGAGGTGGCCTACTCGGAGAAGCCTGGCGAGCCGGGCAACTTCGGCAAGGGCAACTTCGGCCTCTTTGGTGGCGTCGCCGACTCCGCCAAGAGGACCCGCGGCCTGAACTCCGAGATCGCGAACGGGCGCCTGGCCATGATGGCGATCATCGGCATGTTCTACCAGGACGGCCTCACCGGGTCCGCCTGGGGCGATTGGGACCTCTACACGGCCTCTCCGCTGCGCGCCTTCGAGAACGAGCTGGGCGTGCAGGCCCCCCTCGGCTTCTGGGACCCTATCGGCTACACCGCCGACGGCGACGAGGCCGCGTTCAGGCGCCGCCGGGCGACCGAGCTGAAGCACGGGCGCATCTCGATGCTGGCCGCCATGGGCTACATCACGCCCGAGCTCGGGTTCAAGTTCTCGGGCTACCTGTCCCCCTCCATGGGACTCAAGTTCGCAGACGTCCCCAACGGTCTGAAAGCCGTCTCCGTGGTGCCCGCGCTCGGCTGGGCCCAGATCATCGCCTACATGGCGTTCTGCGAGGTGTCCCAGGACCAGAAGCCAGGCACGAAGGCCTGGGCGGGCGACTTCGGATTCAAGGTGCTCACGTCTTCCGACCCAGAGACGCTGAAGAAGAAGCTCTCCGCGGAGATCGCCAACGGCCGCCTGGCCATGATGGCCATCATTGGCATGTTCTTCCAGGACGGCCTCACCGGGTCTCCTTGGGGCGACTGGGCCCTCTACACGGACTCGCCGTTGCGCGCCTTCGAGAGCGAGACGGGGGTGCAGCCGCCAGTGGGCTTCTGGGACCCGCTCGGCCTTTCAGGCGACGGCAGCGCCTTCAACTTCTCGCGCCGGCGAGAGGTGGAGCTGAAGCACGGGCGAGTGTCGATGTTCGCCACGATCGGTTACATTGTCCCCGAGTACTACAAGCTGCCCGGCTTCCTGTCCCCATCCTACGGGATCCAGTTTGCTGAGGTGCCCAACGGTCTCGGCGCTCTGTCGAAGGTGCCTGCGCTCGGCTGGCTGCAGATCATCCTGCTCGCCGGCGTGACTGAGGTTCAGATCTACAAGGACACGGTCAACGGCGAGCCTGGCAACTACGGCGCTGGCTTCCTGGGTAGCAAGAGCATCGGCCTGACCAGCCCCGGCTTCGCAGACCCCCAGGTGCGGAAGGCGAAGCTGAACGCGGAGCTGGCCAACGGCCGCCTGGCGATGATGGCCATCATCGGCATGTTCTTCCAGGACGGCCTTACGGGCTCCGCCTGGGGCGACTGGGCCCTCTACACCGACTCCCCGCTGCGGTGAGGCTGCCCCAACTCTGCCTTCTGTCCCTCCTCCCTGCGCTACTTCAAGGGCAACGTCCGCCTCATTTTGGCAGGTCCCCCTCCTCCTCCAGCGCACCATTTCTCCGCTTCATTAGGCCCGCAGGTGTTCTGAAGAGGGCCACCGAGAGAGAGCACGACTATTTAACGCGGTGGCTGGTGTGAGGCTGAGACACCTAGGGGAGGAATCGCCTCCCAGCTGGCGTGTCCACCGCCGTTTTTTCGGACGGCCAGCATCCGCGCGGTGCACCAGGTTGGATCCAGGAGCGAGTGCAGTATAACGGACGCATGCTGTTCCTGACGAAAGGTCGAACGATCCCCAAAAATTATCTTGGCGAAGGACCCAACCATATGCAGTTGTGAGTACCGCAATTGTGAATATCTTCTTCGGTGGCGCTCCCTATGGGGCCACGAACCGTATGAAGATGTGCCGAATTGTGTGGCGTAGCCTCTGCAGGGGGCTTCCCTGGGAACCCCGACGGCAGCGCCCGCGGGCCGCGACGCCCATGTCGGCACGCCCCACTGGGAGACGGCCGGGGCGACGGCTGGGGCGACGCTGACTGAGTTCCCCCGATGACCGCCTCATGGATCGCTGCTGGCTGAGACCGTCGTGGCGACGACGGGCCTCCGAAGGCCAGAAAGCTTCAAGCCTCGATCCTCGAGGTTCGCACTTCAAACCTCGACGTGCACCTTCGAAAATGCCTAGGCACCCCCGTTAGCCTTTCCAAACGAGAACGCCTTCGGTGGAGCCTCTATGGGGCCACGAAACGTGTGAGGGGTGTGCCGACATGGGTGTGCGGGACGCATGCGGGCACACCCAGTGGGACCTTCGGTGGAGCTCCCTATGGGGCCACGAAGCGTGTGAGGGGTGTGCCGACATGGGTGTGCGGGACGCATGCGGGCACACCCACTGGGACCTTCGGTGGAGTTCCCTATGGGGCCACGAAGCGTGTGAGGGGTGTGCCGACATGGGTGTGCGGGACGCATGCGGGCACGCCCATTTGGACCTTTGGTGGAGCTCCCTATGGGGCCACGAAACGTGTGAGGGTGTGTCGACATGGGTGTGCGGGACGCAAGCGGGCACACCCACTGGGACCTTCGGTGGAGCTCCCTATGGGGCCACGAAACGTGTGAGGGGTGTGCCGAAATGGGTGTGCGGGACGCATGCGGGCACACCCACTGGGACCTTCGGTGGAGCTCCCTATGGGGCCACGAAACGTGTGAGGGGTGTGCCGAAATGGGTGTGCGGGACGCATGCGGGCACACCCACTGGGACCTTCGGTGGAGCTCCCTATGGGGCCACGAAGCGTGTGAGGGGTGTGGGGGGGACGCATGCGGGCACACCCACTGGGACCTTCGGTGGAGTTCCCTATGGGGCCACGAAGCGTGTGAGGGGTGTGCCGACATGGGTGTGCGGCACGCATGCGGGCACGCCCATTTGGACCTTCGGTGGAGCTCCCTATGGGGCCACGAAACGTGTGAGGGGTGTGCCGAAATTGGTGTGCGGGACGCAAGCTGGGACCTTCGGTGGAGCTCCCTATGGGGCCACGAAGCGTGTGAAGGGTGTGCCGAAATGGGTGTGCGGGACGCATGCGGGCACACCCATTGGGACCTTCGGTGGAGCTCCGTATGGGGCCACGAAACGTGTGAGGGGGTGTGCCGAAATGGGTGTGCGGGACGCATGCGGGCACACCCACTGGGACCTTCGGTGGAGCTCCCTATGGGGCCACGAAGCTTGTGACGGGTGTGCCGAAATGGGTGTTCGGTGATGACGATGATGATGACGATGATGATGATGGTGATGATGATGATGATGATGATGATGATGATGATGATGATGATGATGATGATGATGATGATGATGATGATGATGCTGATGCTGATGCTGATGCTGATGATGATGCTGATGATGATGATGGTGATGATGATGATGATGACGATGATGATGGTGGGAGGAGGGAGGAGGGAGGAGGGGGCGAAGAAGGAGAGGAGGGGAGAACGCGGGGCGACGTCTCTTCAAAACGAGGACCCAACACCACAGGATGGTTGGGAAAAAACCCGCTCAGACGGCTGGGCGTCGCAGCGACTCCGTCAGCTCCGGCCCCTGGTCTGCCCTCTTGGCGGTCGGACGACTGGGTTGACCCGTCCCGCGGTCCTTGGCGGCGATCCTCACGGCACCCTCTTGCTCCCTCGCCCCGGTGCTGAGACGCGGATCTCCCTGGTTCGGTCAGTTCTCCGCCATCGGTTCCTGCTCGAGAGTGCGCGTGGTTTTACCTGATCCTGTCGCTCAGGCGCTTATGGTGTTGATTACATCCATCGTTCCCCTGGCTACTTCGCCCGTCCCTGGGGCCTTTCCGTGGGCGGTCGTTTGCAAGATCAGTACTCCCTTCAGGGGACTTGGTGTGCGACTTTGGTGGCGCCACCCGATGCACCAGTTTTGGGCCAGCTTGGGCACCCTTGGCAGTCGTCGCAGCGTACTGACTGGCTGCCTCCCTGGTCACATCCTGGTACGACCCTCGCGCCGTTTTGGCTGCGCCCTAACCCTGGTTGGCTAATTCTTTACGCTTCGCGTATCCCCACCAGCCCATCTCACAGCAGCAACTCTTGCGAAGCATGCCGACAGTCGTGTTTTTCAGGCGTGTGTCCGCTTGGCCCCGCATATCTCCCCTGTTCCTCCTTCCTCCCGCCTCCTTGTACATCCTCCTTGTGGGGGGAGCGGGAGAAGGACGAGGCGGAGGAGGAGGGAGAGAAAGCGCTCCTCGTGATTTGAGTCGTTTGGGGTTTCTCGTCCTGGTGTGAGTCGTTCGGGCCCTTCTTCCTGGTGTGAGTCGTTCGGGCTCTTCGTGGTGTGAGTCGTTCGGGCTCTTCGTCCTGGTGTGAGTCGTTCGGGCTTCTCGTGGTGTGAGTTGTTCGGGCCCCTCATCCTGGTGTGAGTCGTTCGGGCCCCTCCTCCTGGTGTGACTCGTTCGGGCTCCTCGTGGTGTGAGTCGTTCGGGGCCCGCGTCGTGGTGTGAGTCGTTCGGGCTCCTCGTGGTGTGAGTCGTTCGGGCGCCTCGTCCTGGTGTGAGTCGTTCGGGCCCCTCCTCGTGGTGTGAGTCGTTCGGGCCCCTCGTCCTGGTGTGAGTCGTTCGGGCTCCTCGTGGGGCCTCTTGGGGGCCTCTTGGAGCCTCTTGGGGCCTCGTGGGGGCCTCTTGGGGCCTCTTGGGGGCCTCTTGGGCGCCTCGTGGGGCCTCTTGGGGCCTCTTGGGGGCCTCTTGGGGGCCTCTTGGGGGCCTCTTGGGGCCTCTTGGGGGCCTCTTGGGGGCCTCTTGGAGGCCTCTTGGGAGGCTCCTGGGGGCCTCTTGGGGCCATCTTGGGGCCTCTTGCGACCTCCTCAGAAGCGCAAAGGAGCGCTGCCCCCTGAGAAGGACAAAATGAGCCCTAAAACCCTCGTAAAATCAATGATTTTGCTATGAAGGAAGATGAGCGCGGCCCCCTCAGGAGGCCAAAATGGGGCCAAAACCCAAGTAAAATCAATGTTTTCGGCTTCAAAGACGAGTTGAGGGGCCAAACTACCTCCCCCCCTCGGGACCAGAATCCTCGTGAGGGTCGTCGTTTTTTGGCCCTCCCAGGAGTTGAAAAAGACCTCCTTGATCCCACTCGGCCCGCCCTCTCCAGGTCCAGGGTAGGGGGTAGGGGGAGGGGTAAACCCTTCCCCGAAGGGGAAGATAGGGGGTTAGGGGGTTGAGAACAGAGACAGCTCTCTAAACCACTCACGCCCAAAGGGCTGGTGGGATTCTGCACGTGCGCGCCCCTGGACCTGGTCCCTGGCTGCTGCAGCTTGCACCCCCCTCACGCCGGCCCGCCCGCCGAGGCGCTGCTGAGGTCGCTGGCCCGTCGGCGTTAGGTAATTCGGCTCTTGCGCGGCCCGCTCGGATCTGACTCGCCCGCCGCTGGCGCCCTCGCCTGCGGTTGTGACAAAGAAGAATCCCCACCTCATTGCTTGCATTTTTCGGCGCTCGCCTGCTGTAGTGCCTGGCCTAGTCCTGGCCGTTGTTGGCCTGGTTTTCGTGCGGTTCCAAGACGCCGCGCGGCTGTCCGCTTGCGGTTGCGACAAAAAAGTATCCCCACCAGCCTGTTACCGCGAGATAGGTTCGCACCTCTGGCCGCCTGGTCCTATGGACCAATTTCCATTTTTGGAAATTGATATTTTCGTAAGTTTCCCCCTCCTCCTCGCCCTTCTCCACCTCATTCACCTCTTATTGCCCTCCCCCTCCTCCTCCGCCTCCTCCCTTCGCCGACGACCTCCGCCTCGCTTGGCAACATTTCCGAAAACAATAAGCGCTATGCTATGCTACACGCTATGCTACGCTACGCGCTATGTGAGGCTATGCAATGCTATGCTACGTCATGCAGCGCTATGCTATGCTACGCCACGCTATGCTCTGTGATGCTATGCAATGCGGACCGTTAAGAGAGAAAGGGCAGAGAAAGAGACAGACAGACGACCTGCATTGTTTCCTCCTCCTCCCTATTGTCCTCTCTCCTGTTCCTCAAGAATAGGTAGTGAGATCGGGGCAGTACGCATAAAACATATGATGATAGTGCTGTCTCGTGAATTGCGCTTCTCATCAATTTTGATCGAATAATAAAAACAGATATCGGAAATCCGACTGCAACGTGCGAATCATACGCGTTCCAAACAAAACCTTCACATGCATTGGTTTGGGCACGCACATAAATATTTCTACATTCGTAGATATGTGTATGTATGAATACTAGAATGTGTGTATGTATGCCAATGTAAGTATACATATATAGTGTACATCGCATACGCATCATCAAGTGCATCCACATTCATAGCTCCGTTACACGTAAGCTTTTTTTTGGCCCGAGTCTGTTTCACGAAGTGAAGGTATGATTCTACCTCTCCGTCCAGAGGGGCAGCTGTGCATCGAACAGAAATGGTGCGTCGATGATCACGTCGTGCCCCTCGAGCCAGTCGAAGCGGAGTTTGAAAACATCCATAACGTCAGCCTCGAAGCAGACGAGCCTGAGCGTCAATCATTCTGCCTCTTGAACCTCAAGGCTTCGATGACATCGGTGTGGTTGGAGAAGGCCCTCAAGTTGCCATCGAGGTGGTGGGTCAAGCACCATCGTTCGGTGTCCACTTCTTTACCTCCTCCTCATCATCATCCTCCTCCTTCCCCTCTGCTTTCTTCTCCTCATCCTCCTCGGTACCCCTGCTGTCGGATATCAAAGGGATGATTGAATCTACGAAGACTCGCAAGGGTGGAGCATCTCGGATTTCTCAGCGCCCGAACATCGCAGTGGCTATCATTGTC